GCTCGCTGGCTCCCAGCCCGCCCTCCGGTGAGCCCTGGGCGAGCCCCCAGCGCTGCACGCCAACCAACGGCCAGCTCGGCCCCGCGGCCTCACCGTACAGCCCCTGAGGCCCGCGCTGTCCGGTGGCGGGGTCGGGCGCGGTCCACATGAGCAGAGGGTCCTGTGCATCCCGGGGGAAGGCGGGGTCGGGCCCCGACGCCAGCTGTCCCCCGGAGAAGCTCCGCAGCGCGTCGCTCCAGGAGTGTGAGGAGCCATAGATGGCGCTGCCGTCCAGCCAGCCCGTCACCTCGTTGGTCTGTGGGGCACCAGGAGGGTGAGCCGGGGGCGGCTAGCTGAGGTGGGTAAGGGCTGGCCAGGGCCAGGCGGGTGTCCGTGGGTGGGGGCTGGGAGGCCTCCCCCGACCTGACCCTACCAGGCTCCGAACCCAGGACCCCTCCTGCCTCACGTCCAGCCCGCCTGCCTGGTCTCACCAGGTCCCGGGGGTTGCTGGGGCTCTGTCCAGTCTTAGGGTCCCAGCGGCTCCTCTGGAAGGGCAGCACCACGTCCCCGCGCTGGTCAGGGTCGAACACAGGGTCTCCGGGCGGGATAGGGATGTTGAGGAACTCGGGTGGGCAGCCGGGTCTCTCCACGCTCACCAGGTCCGAGAGCACGTGGTAGCCTACACGCAATGGGGAAGGGTGTGCTAGGGCCAGCTGAGGGCCCCTCCTTTACGTTCCAGGTCTCCAGTCCTCCCCTCATCCCACAAAAGCTTTAAAAGACTCAGCAGCCATTATGGGCAAGTCCAAGCCTTGACGTCCCCACCCCTTCCAAATCTGTTACACCCTGGTCCAAACTGTTTTCAGTGCCAGTCTGGGCTCTCCTTGGTAACTGGGAGGTGCCCAGTGAGTGTGCCTAGGTTATCCAGCTGGCAGCACTGGCTCCAACATGCAGCTGGGAGCAGCCTGCCCAGAGGGCCTGCCAGTCTCAGTGGGACGTTGGACACTGGAAATGTGGGCACCCCCGGATGGTGAGCAGGACAAGGGCATTTCTGCTAGGAGCACAGTCACTAGGGTCAGGCCACCCTAGCACCCATGTTTTGCACCTCCCCCCTCCCCGGCCCTCCACCATAATCAGTTCCTTGCCCTGAGCCAGTCCTAGGATACCCAGGGTCAGAGAATGAGGTCAGGCTCCCCACCAAGAGTCCTTACCAGATCATTTTCATGTCCTGCCTCTACCCCAGGCTCTCATCAACAGCCCAGTGTGGGGCAGGTTTATGCCTCCCCCAACCAGTCTTTTTCCCTCTGTTCCCAGCCCCATCCCTACCCACCACCTCCCCTGCCATCTCTCACCCTGCATCTCAGACCCTCTGTCATTTCTCTCCCTCACTCCCTGACTTCCCCTCAGAAGTAAAGGTGTTAAGCTGACCCCACTGGACTCCCTACCCCATACTTGATCATGAGGGGTGGGCGATGCAAGAAGAGGAAGCAGAGAAAGTTTCAGTGAGTTTGAGGCCCTCACCGAAAAAGACCCCCAGCACTGTGCGGTTTCGCAGGGAGGCTTGCCCAGCAGGGCCCCTCATGGCTGTGTTGCTAAGGTCTCTGGCGTTGGGTAGGTGGGGTTCTCCCAAGGGCTGGTACACGCCATCTGCATAGCTGGCTGGGACCAAGCGCTGCAGCCGAAAGCCTGGTCAGCAAGAGTAGAGACAAGGACAGATCCTCAGGGGAGCTCCCCGACCTCTCTCCCAGGCTTCCCTCCATACCACAGATCCTGAAACCTTAGGAATGGATGAGTCTTTGCCGGTACCTCCCAGCCCTTGCCCCTTAGCGGTGGGTACCACCTTGACCTTGGAGCTCTGTTTCCACTTGGCTCTCACCTACCTTTGCTGCCCCATCTGTGCTCCATGAGGTTGTTGTACCACCCGTCAAATCGCTGCACCTCCCATGAAATGGGGTTCTGAACTGTGTGAAAACAGAGAAATAGAGGGAAACTGCAGCTGGGCAAGTCAGTGAATGAGAGGATGGGCAGGCCTACAGGATCTGGGTCCTGTGGGCCTGGAACCAGGAGCCCAGAAGACCACACAGCACAGTGTGGAGGTAGGGTGCAGAGGGGGATAACCAAAGGCAGAGTGATGGGCTGCACCACCTTAGTGCTCTCTGCTGTGGGGGCTGTCTCGCCATCCTATTGCCCCAGCCAGGACAGGTCAGTCCACAGATTTTCTCTGCTTCCTCTTCTTGCATTGCCCACCCTCATGATCAAGAACTTCTCTTTTTAACCAAACTTGTGGCACCTTAAGCCTACTTCCCTCCTCAGAGAACCAAACTACAACAAATGGCCTCAAATTCTAGTTAAGAGATTGTCCAAAGCTGAAGGTAACAAAATTAAATTCATGGATCATATTGGGTTTTTTTGTTTGTTTAATTCACATTGTTTTGAAACATTGGTGACTTTTCTTCAGCTTTGGGTCCACTTTTACCCCCAAGATCCTTTATTATCTTGTGTGTTTAATCAATCCTTTTCCATTTGGAGTCAGAGGTTCTTATATTATGAAGAAAGAGAAGAGGCAGGAGAGAGAAGGCTCCCCAGACTGTAAAGAATGAAATAGGAAGTGCTGATTCAGCAACTGAAAGCTCCCTAATTCTGTGTTTTTGGGAAATATTTTCATTCCATTATCTATCCACCTAGTCAACAAGCTTGAAATGAGCATCTACCATGTACAGGGTACTGTGTTAGCTACAGACTAGGGATATCAAGATGAATAGGACACAGTTTATTGTGTCCCTGGGGGTGCCAGGGGATACTGGGTTCCTCTGTTCCTAGCCATGCTTCTTCTCCAATCTGTACTCACCTGTGGTCATCCATGGCCCAACCAGGAGTGTCCATGCCAGGGCCAGGCAGAAGCCCATGATGAAAATGATAGTAGAGCTCAGGTATTAGAAAACGCTACAGTGGAGATCCTAGAAAAAGACTGAGGACAGAGAGAATGAACCCCAGCAGTTTAGGAGAGTCAGGCCAGGGCCTCTGAGGGCCCCTGTGAATCTAGGCATGTGTCTGGGCCAAGGCCATAGTCAGTAACAAAGATCAAGAGACTCACTGTACCAGGAATCGTTCATTCATTCAACAAATACTTGATAAGCACCCACTATGTAGCAGGCACAGACCTAGGCACAGGAGATTAAGTGAACAAAGCAGTCAGAAATTCCTGCCTTCACAGCCTTACCCTTCTAAGATTAATGGGAAAAATCTTGCTTTGGCCAGCTGCCTGCAGTGTGCGCTCCTTGGTCAGAGCCTTGCTTGGGGGCCAGGACACTGGGCTAAGGTCAGGAGACTGCGCCGCTCTCCAGTCCACTAATATGATCACTTATCCAGTCTGGACCTTGGTTTCCTCTCCAACAGTGAGAGGAAACATGCCTATGTCTACTTGCTAGGGTGACTGCCAGAATCACATGTGAGAATGAGGTTGAAATCAAAGCAAGAAAAATAACAGGAATGTAAATGTAACCTAAGAAGATGGTCTGGAGCTTGGCTCCTCTGGGCAGTCTCGGAAGGGATCCAGTGCTAGGGACTCCTGTGTTTGCTGCAGGCTTCCTGCTCTCTCTCTCCAGCCAACAGATCTCCAGAGACAGTAGGGAAATCAAGGCAGCAGAAACTCAGGCTGGGTCTCTGAGTAGCACAGGGGTGCCTAAAGCCAGTGAAGACCTCCTAAAGGTAACATGGAGACTGGGGCTGGGTGGGACTGGGGAACTAACCAGTGGAGAAAGGTGGGAGCTCAGGGAAAGCCTCATTTCTGGCCAAACTCTCCGGGCTCCTGGACAGGTTGCAGAAGAGGAAACCCAGAAGGTCACCACATCTTCACTTGCTATTTCCATTAAACAAATGAAAAAACCTAGGCCCTGTTGTAACTCAAAAGCTCAGCATTCAACCCATTCCATCCCAGAGACTCTCCAGGCACTGGCCTTTAATAACGTGTGATGAGCAAGCAGGGCTCTGGATGGTTGAAACCATAAGGCTAGACACGCTGAAGTGGCCACAGTGATTCTTCCCTGATTTACCATGTCCTACCCTTTACCCACTACCACCAGTCTTCAGAATCCTTGGCTCAGACGCAAGTGTACCCCTCACCCTCAACCTGTAAAAGCATGCAGTGAGCTTTTAGGCCAGGCTGTGGGGACAGCCTGAAGGGTAAGATGGGCATACTCAATAACCACTCTTTGCACATGGGGAACCAAATGACTAACTAACACAGCAACATTGGTTTGGTAACTTCCCAATAACCTTGAAAGGAAGGCACAGCGTGATGACAGGGCAGTGAAGCCCCAGGCAGTGGCAGAACCAGGGAGAGAACAAGAACTGGTTCTTGTCCCACATGGCTACTTTTCCAGCCTGAAGTCCTAGAGTGACCAGCACGTGGGGGAAAGCTGAGTCCAAACCACAGGGAGTCCAACTTGGGTCCAAGGGAAGACCGAAGGGGAATGGGCTCTAAAAGCCCAAAGTTCCCTTCCTGGTATAATGTTATAATGCCAGGAGGAGCTCGAGACATTCCCTAAACCGGAGCAAACTCAGCCACCCAACAGTCCCAGTTACGGAAGAATCCAGTCTTTCAAAACCTTGGTGGGGTGGATGATAGGCACAGAAAGGGCCCATTTTAGCCTCACGCTAAGAATGGAGGCACAGGGGCGACAGGGCTGGAATTCCCCTTCCCTCCAGAATGCGGCCGAACTGGGGCACCCCCCACAGCAGCCATGCCGGTTGAGCTCCGTTCCCCGGGGCGCCCCGGCCCACAGGCGCGAAGCCCTCCTCTATCTGACCTGTGGCCGCGGCGGCCCTCCAGCCGGGATTGTCTCGCGCCTGGCTTGCAGCTGGGCCCACGACGCCGGCTCCGGTCCGGCACGCTACCCAGCTCTGTGCCAGGGCGGGCAGGGCGGGGGGGTGAAAAGGGGACGCCGCGTCCCAGTTCTACGGCGGGGCGGGGCGCAGTGGGGCGGGACAGAAGCACGCTGCTGCGGACACGCCGAGGTGAGACGGCCGGGCGAGGGCTCAGAGGGGGAGGTGTACTGCCTGTGGCGAAGGCTCGGCTAGCTGGAGCTGGGGAGAGGCGGCGGGGCGGCGGTCCCCACATCCTTTCCGCACCGACGCGTCTGGGCTCCGAGACCGAGAGATTCGGTCAACGGCCGGAGACCAGGCCAGGCGTCCAAGCAAGGCATCGGGCCTAAGACCCAGTAAGAACCCATGGTGACCATCCCCGCGGGCTTCCTCGTGCGATCTCGGGGTCGCCCCGCCGTACCCCGACCTGCGGAGCTAGACGGAACTGCCCGGGGTTCTGGGCACGCGGGGAGGGGAAGGAGGTGCTGGAGGATGGCTGCGGAGCCGAAGGTTCTGGCGCACCCGTCCCTTCTCTGCCCCACACGGGGGTTGGGGAGACAGCGCCGCAGAGCCTTGCCGCGGTCCTGACAGCCACGTGGAGTGGGGGGCGGGGAAGAACCCAGGACCTGGTCTGTCCGGTCATAGCTTTTCCTTTAGTGAATTAGGGGGAGAGTCGGGGTTGGAAGGGAACCCCGCCGGGAGAAAGGGGCGCACTCTTTCGGTGACAGAACATCCGGCCCTGGTTTCCTTCCTAACCCTGCGTCTGGGAGCGCTGGGTGAGGCTCCACGAGGAATAGGCGAGCACCGCGGGCTACCACCGACGCATTGTTTGAAAGAGGCGAAGGTAGGAAACAGTGGCTGGCGTGTGAGTGGCGGGGATGAGCCTGCTTGGGTCGATGCAGTTGGGAGTGGGTTTTTGAAGGGGCCTTGAGGTGCCACTCCCGTCCAGGCCCCTAGGGGAGCACTTCCTGCGTCCTCCCACACCAAGTTCAGATTAAGTGGGAGTTCTTCAAGAGAAAGTTTGGTAAGAAATTAAAAGGAGGCAAGAAAAACTTCATAAGGCCATGAAGGTCACAAAGTGTACAGACATCGGATCCTTATCCTGGCTTAACTGGAGTCTACATAGTTTGGCTTGGCATGATTGAGTATCCCTGGGCTCCTCATCTACCTCAGCCCTTACTGGGGATTCCTACCCAACCCACTTTTCAGATCCTTTTCTATTTCAACACTTAACTCCTTCTTTAGTGCAACAACACACATACACATGCACACACACCTTCGCAAAGAGAAGAGGCTTGGACAGGAGTTCCTGAGAGGGTCAGGAGCTGTAAACTTTTAATGGGGTCAACATCAACCAGAGAAATAAACCATCACATTCTAATAGCGGTGTATCATCTATTAGAATTCTTGGCAACTCCAGGCATGTCACCCACTCCCACTTTGCAGAGAATTAGTTGTCTTTATGGTTTCCAGAAGATAGGGAATGAGGACAGGAAGAGACTTCAGGAAATTTCCATGAAGCCACAAGAGAGGCCACAGAGCACTAAGAAAACACAAGGAACTTTGCATGCTGAAGACTGGAGCTTGTATTAGGTCGGATTTTCTGAAAGACTGTAACTTTATTCTTGCCTATCCCTCGTAAACACACAGGAATCCCACTTCATGCTGTGATAGGTAAGGATTGGGTAACTGTGTCTGACATACACTGAGCATGAGAAATGCTTCAATGTTTTAAAGGAGTTCAGAAGGGGAAAAGGTGCCCTCTTCAGGCCAAGTGAGAAAGGAGGACCCCAAAGTTTAGGGATTCACCCACCGAAAGAAAAAGCAACCACAATTTTATCACAGGGGCCTCTGATGGAAGGTTTTGTGTCTGTGTTACTGAAAACTCTTTCTTGTGTCTGTATTTCTGTGTATATGAACTCATAGGTATATGCCTGACTGTATCTTCTGCTTATTTATACCAATAAACATTGGATATATTAGCCAATCATGGTGGTGAACTAGGGGAGAAGTAGGTGAAGATTTACGTGAGATTTTTCTCTTATTAGAAGAAATTCTGCTGTTAGACCCTCCTTGGCAAGCCACAGAGGAAGATGTTCCAGAGGGAAAGTACAAGCTTTGTGGGCAAAGCAGGATTTATGGTTATGGAGACTTAATTTCAGTCCTATCGCTTCATGCAGGAGGCCTGTTAGCTTAATAATTAAAACCAAATTAGGATCAGGATCATTAAAAATTAACTTTAAATTAGGCAATGTAGATTAAGGAAGACCTGGGTAATTAAATAGAACAAGGAGAAATTAAATAAGGCAAATTTTATATACCAACTGTCTTTTTCCTTTAATCATATTTAGTAAATATTTTAGAGAATTGGAAATAAGTTAACATTGTTCTTCTGTGTTTATGATATAGGAAGCCTTTTCTTAGGGTTTCTTTGAGGCACCTTGTTAATAGAGATGAGCCATTCTTGTAAAATATTTTATAACCTCCCTTTAAAATAAATGCAGGAATAATACTAATTTTAACCCTGACCAAAACACATCACACTATAATTATTTGCTTATATTGTACATATTTGTTGTAGAATTTCGGCATTAATATGTATTCTTACCATTAGCAAACTTGCTTTATCTCCCTATCTTATTAACCAAGATATTTTACATTTTATAGCCCTTTCTAAAAAATCTAGCCTTCCACCAAATTTGTAATGGTTTCAGTCTAGGTGTCAAAAATAAAAATCCTTAGACCAATTTAAGTGCTTTACAATAAGTTTCACTATCACATATTTTACAAAATAATTTAATCCACAAATTCTTAGTTACTTATCTTCATCTGGAGTTGAAATGTATGTTCCAGATTCAATTAAACATGACCATTCATGCTTTGGAGAGTCCAACTATTGGAAGAGCCTTCCTGAAAATTGTGAAAACACTATAAAGGGTTGGTCAAATCCCTTCCTGCCCAGTCCTTAGCTCTGCGCTGGTGATATCAGTGTTGAATAATCGAGTTCATGTGGTACCAGGCACTGAGGGCGCATAGCGCCCTCTTGTGTGCAGAATAGGAGATGCTGCCTGCTGTGAAAGGAATCTATTCATATACTCAATTCATTCAATCCACGGACTGATTAGTATATGCCATGTGCAGGGAATGCAAAGATGGAAAGACAGAGTCTCTGCTCTTAAGGACATTAGAAGCTAACGGGGAGACAGATGTTTAAACAATAAGAGTGTGTGCATAATTTTTGTGATGGTGGAAAATGCAGTTAGAATGTTAGTGGTGGAATGGCATCAGAGGAAACTTCACAGAGGAGATAACACAAGACTTGAAGGGTAAAAAGGAGGTTTCCAAGGGGCTAAGAGCATCCTAGGAAGAAGAAATAGTATATACAAAGGCATGGAGGCTTGAAAGATTATGTCAGATTCGGGAAGAGGCTGATAGTTAAGTATGGCTAGATAGTAGGCTGAGCAATAATAGGTGGAGATGGAAGGGTAGGTGGGACCAGATCACAAAGGACTTTGTATGTGATGGTGAGAAGATTTGTTTTTGTTTTTGTTTTTTTCAGAACAAATAAGTGAAATGATTGTATTTGCTTGTTAGAAAAACTGTTCTGGCACCAGGCAAGGCAGGATGAGGCTGAATTAGGGCAGAGGTGGTAGGCAAGAAAATACATAGATGGTTTTATGAAACATTTAGGAGGTAAGATGGTCCAGGTCTTTGGCTTATTGGATTGATGAGGTGGTACTGCCACCAAAGAGAAGAAGAAAACAGAATAAAAAGCAGAGTTGAGACCATGAATTGAGCTTGGGACCTATTAAATTTGAAGCATTCATGGAACCAAGTGAAAATATCCATGGGGTAACTGGCCCTTTTGTGTTTGAAGCTCAGGTAGCTGGTCTATCTGGAAATGTAGACTGAGAAACGTCAGCCATGGGAATGGACAAGCTTGCCTCGGGACTAGGGACAGAACTTTGGGGAGACAAACATTTAAGGAGGAAGAATTAGCAAAGGAGCCACAAAAGGGATGGCCAAAGGCAGGAGACCCAGGAGAACACTGTCATGGAGGCGCAGGGAGGAAAAGTTTGAAGAAAGAGGGAATGGTCCTCTTAGATTGACAATGTCAAATACCACAGTGGGGCTTAGAAGGATGAAAAGTGAAAACTTTTTGGGTTTAGCACTTGGCAACTGTTGAAGTTGGGGTAGGGGAGAAACCACATTACAATGGATTGAGGAGATATGGCCATGGAAATACCAACAGAGACTCTTATTCCAAAAATGTCTGGCTGTAAAAGGGAGAGTGTGGGATAAGATGGTAGCTGGAGGGGACCCAGAAGGTCTCAGGACAATCTTTTTTCTTTGTGTTCTTAATATAGGAGCTTTAAGCATACCCTTAAGAGATGGAGCCAGCAGAGAAGCTGAAAAGTCATGGGGACAAAGTGGAACCACTGATGAGAAAGGTGGTGGTGAAGGCAGGCAGGACTGGGGTCAAGATCCAGGAGGAAAAGAGATACCCATTCCTCTAGGATGGGAGAGTTGATGAGTTAGGAAAAAAGCAAAACCATATTAAAAACCAAGACTCAGAGGTTATGTGATTTACCCAAAATATAGGATAAAAAACTGTCTCTCTCTCTTTTTGCCTGATACTTTGATACTCCCCAGAGATAGCACAAGAAGTGGCCAGCCTCAAAGGAGAGGGAAGGGCTGGGAGCTATGGTGTATTCTAGGAGAATCACAGAATTTAGAACTGAAAGGAAACTGGAGATCATATATCCAATTGCAGTTGAGGAAACCAAGGACCAAGGAGGTTGTCATTTGCCTGTGTGATGTTACAAAATTAATGACGAATTGGAAGTAGACCCAGAACTGATTTCAGCCTAGGATTCTTTCCAAGAAGGATGGGAGAAAGAAAGAAATGGAGCAGTGAAATGCCCCCTCCTTCTCAATCTGGGAGTATCCATTTATTGCTATTACTTTATTCAAAGTACTGTTCTTAGTACTTTACATAAACAAGCTCATTTTGTACTCACAATGACCCTATAGGGTAAACATTTTCATCCATGTTTCTTAATAAAACCAAGTCTCTGTAGAGGTCAGGTAACTTGCAAGAGGCAGAGGCAGAACTGAAACACAGAGATGCTTAACTGCAAAGCTATTCTTTCACTGTATCACTTTAAAAGACACACACAGTGTGGTCAGCCTATGAATTATGGAGCCTCCTGGGCCAACTGAGTCCTTATTACAGATAACATGCAGGGAAATGAGCAGAGCTGGGATCATGGATTGTAAGATACTTTTTAAAAATATATATTTTGATATCTCTAAAATTGAGCTGTGCCTTACCAACAATGGCTGTCATGGTTTAATTGACAATGTTTTGTTTTGTTTTTTTTCCCCTTCTTTGTGGTACAGAGTGTGTCTTGCAAGCCCTTCTGTCTGGATTTAACAAAATGCAGGGAGTTTAGGTACCATTTCCCTGACATTCTGTCGGCAAAGGGAAAGACTAGAGCCAAACTAACTCTGAGATCAGGAGACAGGTGGAGAACTAAGGCAGAGTTTGAGCTGAAACAAGGCCTGGGAATCTGAGTCCAGGAAGAAGGCTACTCTCGGTGATGTGTGGGTAGGAGGACATCTGGCTTCAGCACTGTGCCTGGTGGGGAGCAGGTGCTCCTTCAGTACTTACTGAAGGGAACTCAGTTTAGCTTGATTGGTCTGGAGATGTCCCAGCAAGAGCCAGCATGCTTGAGAAAGCTGGACAGACCAGTGGGGGCAGTGGCAGGTCTAGGAATCAGACCTTTGATGATGTTGCTGGAGTAAATACATGGCAGAGCTGTCAGGCCTTTGTTCCTTTGGGGACTATGGAGGAAAGCCAAACTTTTTGTAATCTGCACCATCTTTTGCCCTTCTGCCTTCACTTGATAGTAAATATAGCTCTTTTTATGTTCTGTGATGTGTCTGCTTGTGCTGGAGGCCTGAGGGAGATAAAAGAGAACTATATTTCTTCAGACAGTCCCAGAGGAAGCAGAGTACCCTCAAGGGTGGTAGTGGCACTGATTTAGGGGACCTGGGGTTTAGGAAGGTGAGCATGGGGTGAAGGAGACTGATTGCCAAGACCCTCATTCTCTCACAAGTCACAACAACGGAGAGGGATGGTTGAGGAGCACTGAAATCTGGTGCGCTCCAGAGAGGAGGGGCCTGGTCTGGGTTCTTCCCTGCTGTATCTCCAGCACCAAGAAGAGTGCCTGGCACATGGAGGGCACTCAGTAAACATCTACTGTTGTTATACAGCATACGCCTCCCCATCATAACCCCACCAAAATGGCTGCTTTGGGACACACATTCCCCTTCTATGCTGGCCCCAAGCCGACCTTCCCGATGGATACCACCTTGGCCGTCATCATCACCATCTTTCTGACTGCACTGGTCACCTTCATCGCCATCCTGCCTGGCATTCGGGGCAAAATGGTGAGAAATAAACCCAGTCCTAGAGACCCCAGCCCCAGGGAAACCTTGGCCTCCAGGTGAGGGGGCCAAACTCTGACTCCAGCCCACTCAGGAGAGATTCGGGTCCTGAGAGAGCATCACTCATCCCACAGCAGACGGCCCCCCACTCACTGACTCAGCAGATAACTACAGAGCCCCTGTTATGTGCCAGGCACTCTGATCTCAACTGACAGAGTGCTCTCAGTTTTAGAACACCCTCCCCAAGTCTGTAAAGAGGAAGGGTAGACTTGGAAGGAGGGTGCTCTTTTCCAAACCCACCTACCCTGTGACTCAGAGGCTGTTCTGGCTGCTGCGGGTGGTGACCAGCTTATTCATCGGAGCTGTGATCCTGGGTGAGTGTGGAGGGCAGCTGCTTCTGTGCCCTCAGCAGCAGCCCCTCCTGCTTCCCCACAGCAGCCTCTGCTTGAGGGTGGGCTTGCAGACCCTGTCCACACGCCGCCCTTGTTCTTACCCTTGCCTTGAGGGGTGTGGGCCCGGGACACCATGATGGATGCATCCCTCCAGCCTTCCTAACATTTTTATTGAGAGGAAAGCAAGTTACAATGAATATTTGTGGGAAGAGGGCCGCTGAAGACTGGAGGGAGAAAATGCAGGGACACTGCTTGCTGTGCTCCTGGAATGAAGCAATAGGAGATGTGGAAAGTCTCTGTGATATGAAGCTATCTGTGTTTGCCCAGCATGGTTCATTATGTTAATGTTTCCATCCCTAGCTGCTTGAGTAATTCCTCTGAAAATGGAGGGGTGGGGAGAGAGAAACAGTATGACCAAGGGAAATCTTAGATTCTGACCCTTTCCCACATATATTGTTGGCAAACTTATCATAAGCCAGAACCTGGGCTGGTTAATGGATTTATGGCTGTGAACAAAACAGACATGGACCCCTTGCAGCTCTCCCTCTGACCCCAACCCAGTAATGCCCAGACTTCTGTGAGTGCCCATATGTCCAACTCTCAACCCCAGCTGTGAATTTCAGTTCTGAGTGGTCCGTGGGCCAGGTGAGCACCAACACATCATACAAGGCCTTCAGTTCCCAGTGGATCAGTGCAGTCCTTGGGCTGCAGGTTGGGCTGGGAGGAGTCAACATCACACTCACAGGTAAGGGCGGGCTCTGACCTGGGAGGGAGGGGAGGCTCTGCTCTCTGCCTCTTGGGTCTGATTTGGTATGGTCTGCATGGGGGGATGGTAGGAAGGGAAAGTCCCAGGTCTTGGAAGCTGCCAACTGAGACCAGCTCCTGTCCCTCTCTGCCCAATGTGGTGAGCCTCTCCCCAGCTAAATGCCCACTCTGGCCCTTGGGTCTCTGCTGAGCACAGCTGCCCCCTTCCCCAGGGACCCCAGTGCAGCAGCTGAATGAGACCATCAATTACAATGAGCAGTTCACCTGGCACCTGGGCGAGAACTATGCCACGGAGTATGCAAAAGCTCTGGAGAAGGGGCTGCCGGACCCCGTGCTCTACCTGGCCGAAAAGTTCACCCCAAACAGCCCGTGTGGCCTGCATGGCCAGTACCGCCTGGCAGGACACTACACCTCAGCTGCACTGTGGTGAGGGTGGGACAGAGGCCCTGCTGGTCTGACCCATAAACAGGGTTTCTACCCATCTCTCCTCCACTCCTGTGGAGGTCCCTGGAGGGACAGGCTGTGATGCCCCTCACCCTGGTGCTCAGTTGGGAAGCCCACAGGCAGGTATCGTTACCTCATATCTTTGGGGTGTCCTTGAGCCTCTACCTTGGTCCCTCCAGATAGAGGGATCTAGGCCAGCCTTCACTAGGTTTTGGCTCCCCAGGGTGGCATTCCTCTGCTGGCTGCTGGCCAATGTGATGCTGTCCATGCCGGTGCTGGTCTACGGTGGCCACATGCTTCTGGCCGCAGGCATCTTCCAGCTGTTGGGGCTGCTCTTCTTCTCCCTGGCCACGTCACTCACCCCACCGTGCCCCCTGCACCTGGGCGCTGCTATGCTGCACGCTCACTGTGGGCCTGCCTTCTGGATCACATTGACCACAGGTGAGGCCCAGCCCTGAAGACAAGCACTGGAGGGCTTAGTGCCAGGAACCATCGTGCTGGTGGGTTGAGGGTCTGCTCCTCAGGACCAGGATGCCTTTCTCTCTTCAAAGCCCCATCCCTCTCACATCCCTCTTCTCTGGATTTTTCTCTCCCAAGTTCCACTCCCCACTCCACCCATATGTCTCCTGTGTCTCCTCTCCATCCCTGTCATGTCCCTCATCCTCTAATTCTGTCTTCAGCAAGCTTTTCTCCAAATCTTCTGATCCATGATCTCATGTCCCCTCCCACTTTCCCCACTCCCTCTGTGTTCCCCATTCCTAGAACCTTCCTCCATCCCTTCCTCACATAGCCTTAAATTATCCTGCAGTTTTATTCTCCTCTGCTGTCCCACTGTGCCTGCCCCCTCAGTGCCCTTCCCCATGCCTCCTCCTCTGGGCCCTGCTCTTCCCCAGGGTTTCTGTTTTCAGAGTTCTCTCTTTCTCTCTCCCTCTTTCTCTTCCTCTCCCCAGTTAGGATGTAACTGAAAGAAGACTGGGCTTAGAGTCCAAAAACTCGGAAAACAGAGCCATACCAGCTGTATGATGAAAGGCCACTCACCTCTCTGAGCCCAAGTTGCCCTGAAGCAGGGACATCAGGCCTCCCTTAGAGTTGCCTTGCTGCTCTTAGAAGATGTCCTTGGGAGGGTGTTCCTGTCACTAAGGTCGACATCTGTTGCCTCATCCCCAGGACTGCTTTGTGTACTGCTGGGCCTGGCTGTGGTGGTGGCGCACAGGATGCAGCCCCACAGGCTGAAGGCTTTCTTCAACCAGAGTATGGGGGAAGGTGCCATGCTGGAGTGGAATCCTGAGGAAGGGGGACTCCTGAGCCCCCACTACCGGTCCATGGCAGAGAGTCCTGAGCCCCAGGACATTCCTCTGTCGGAGGATTTCTCCAAGACTTGCTGCAAGGAAGAACACCTGAAGCTCAGGTAGCTGGTCTATCTGGAAATGTAGACTGAGAAACGTCAGCCATGGGAATGGACAAGCTTGCCTCGGGACTAGGGACAGAACTTTGGGGAGACAAACATTTAAGGAGGAAGAATTAGCAAAGGAGCCACAAAAGGGATGGCCAAAGGCAGGAGACCCAGGAGAACACTGTCATGGAGGCGCAGGGAGGAAAAGTTTGAAGAAAGAGGGAATGGTCCTCTTAGATTGACAATGTCAAATACCACAGTGGGGCTTAGAAGGATGAAAAGTGAAAACTTTTTGGGTTTAGCACTTGGCAACTGTTGAAGTTGGGGTAGGGGAGAAACCACATTACAATGGATTGAGGAGATATGGCCATGGAAATACCAACAGAGACTCTTATTCCAAAAATGTCTGGCTGTAAAAGGGAGAGTGTGGGATAAGATGGTAGCTGGAGGGGACCCAGAAGGTCTCAGGACAATCTTTTTTCTTTGTGTTCTTAATATAGGAGCTTTAAGCATACCCTTAAGAGATGGAGCCAGCAGAGAAGCTGAAAAGTCATGGGGACAAAGTGGAACCACTGATGAGAAAGGTGGTGGTGAAGGCAGGCAGGACTGGGGTCAAGATCCAGGAGGAAAAGAGATACCCATTCCTCTAGGATGGGAGAGTTGATGAGTTAGGAAAAAAGCAAAACCATATTAAAAACCAAGACTCAGAGGTTATGTGATTTACCCAAAATATAGGATAAAAAACTGTCTCTCTCTCTTTTTGCCTGATACTTTGATACTCCCCAGAGATAGCACAAGAAGTGGCCAGCCTCAAAGGAGAGGGAAGGGCTGGGAGCTATGGTGTATTCTAGGAGAATCACAGAATTTAGAACTGAAAGGAAACTGGAGATCATATATCCAATTGCAGTTGAGGAAACCAAGGACCAAGGAGGTTGTCATTTGCCTGTGTGATGTTACAAAATTAATGACGAATTGGAAGTAGACCCAGAACTGATTTCAGCCTAGGATTCTTTCCAAGAAGGATGGGAGAAAGAAAGAAATGGAGCAGTGAAATGCCCCCTCCTTCTCAATCTGGGAGTATCCATTTATTGCTATTACTTTATTCAAAGTACTGTTCTTAGTACTTTACATAAACAAGCTCATTTTGTACTCACAATGACCCTATAGGGTAAACATTTTCATCCATGTTTCTTAATAAAACCAAGTCTCTGTAGAGGTCAGGTAACTTGCAAGAGGCAGAGGCAGAACTGAAACACAGAGATGCTTAACTGCAAAGCTATTCTTTCACTGTATCACTTTAAAAGACACACACAGTGTGGTCAGCCTATGAATTATGGAGCCTCCTGGGCCAACTGAGTCCTTATTACAGATAACATGCAGGGAAATGAGCAGAGCTGGGATCATGGATTGTAAGATACTTTTTAAAAATATATATTTTGATATCTCTAAAATTGAGCTGTGCCTTACCAACAATGGCTGTCATGGTTTAATTGACAATGTTTTGTTTTGTTTTTTTTCCCCTTCTTTGTGGTACAGAGTGTGTCTTGCAAGCCCTTCTGTCTGGATTTAACAAAATGCAGGGAGTTTAGGTACCATTTCCCTGACATTCTGTCGGCAAAGGGAAAGACTAGAGCCAAACTAACTCTGAGATCAGGAGACAGGTGGAGAACTAAGGCAGAGTTTGAGCTGAAACAAGGCCTGGGAATCTGAGTCCAGGAAGAAGGCTACTCTCGGTGATGTGTGGGTAGGAGGACATCTGGCTTCAGCACTGTGCCTGGTGGGGAGCAGGTGCTCCTTCAGTACTTACTGAAGGGAACTCAGTTTAGCTTGATTGGTCTGGAGATGTCCCAGCAAGAGCCAGCATGCTTGAGAAAGCTGGACAGACCAGTGGGGGCAGTGGCAGGTCTAGGAATCAGACCTTTGATGATGTTGCTGGAGTAAATACATGGCAGAGCTGTCAGGCCTTTGTTCCTTTGGGGACTATGGAGGAAAGCCAAACTTTTTGTAATCTGCACCATCTTTTGCCCTTCTGCCTTCACTTGATAGTAAATATAGCTCTTTTTATGTTCTGTGATGTGTCTGCTTGTGCTGGAGGCCTGAGGGAGATAAAAGAGAACTATATTTCTTCAGACAGTCCCAGAGGAAGCAGAGTACCCTCAAGGGTGGTAGTGGCACTGATTTAGGGGACCTGGGGTTTAGGAAGGTGAGCATGGGGTGAAGGAGACTGATTGCCAAGACCCTCATTCTCTCACAAGTCACAACAACGGAGAGGGATGGTTGAGGAGCACTGAAATCTGGTGCGCTCCAGAGAGGAGGGGCCTGGTCTGGGTTCTTCCCTGCTGTATCTCCAGCACCAAGAAGAGTGCCTGGCACATGGAGGGCACTCAGTAAACATCTACTGTTGTTATACAGCATACGCCTCCCCATCATAACCCCACCAAAATGGCTGCTTTGGGACACACATTCCCCTTCTATGCTGGCCCCAAGCCGACCTTCCCGATGGATACCACCTTGGCCGTCATCATCACCATCTTTCTGACTGCACTGGTCACCTTCATCGCCATCCTGCCTGGCATTCGGGGCAAAATGGTGAGAAATAAACCCAGTCCTAGAGACCCCAGCCCCAGGGAAACCTTGGCCTCCAGGTGAGGGGGCCAAACTCTGACTCCAGCCCACTCAGGAGAGATTCGGGTCCTGAGAGAGCATCACTCATCCCACAGCAGACGGCCCCCCACTCACTGACTCAGCAGATAACTACAGAGCCCCTGTTATGTGCCAGGCACTCTGATCTCAACTGACAGAGTGCTCTCAGTTTTAGAACACCCTCCCCAAGTCTGTAAAGAGGAAGGGTAGACTTGGAAGGAGGGTGCTCTTTTCCAAACCCACCTACCCTGTGACTCAGAGGCTGTTCTGGCTGCTGCGGGTGGTGACCAGCTTATTCATCGGAGCTGTGATCCTGGGTGAGTGTGGAGGGCAGCTGCTTCTGTGCCCTCAGCAGCAGCCCCTCCTGCTTCCCCACAGCAGCCTCTGCTTGAGGGTGGGCTTGCAGACCCTGTCCACACGCCGCCCTTGTTCTTACCCTTGCCTTGAGGGGTGTGGGCCCGGGACACCATGATGGATGCATCCCTCCAGCCTTCCTAACATTTTTATTGAGAGGAAAGCAAGTTACAATGAATATTTGTGGGAAGAGGGCCGCTGAAGACTGGAGGGAGAAAATGCAGGGACACTGCTTGCTGTGCTCCTGGAATGAAGCAATAGGAGATGTGGAAAGTCTCTGTGATATGAAGCTATCTGTGTTTGCCCAGCATGGTTCATTATGTTAATGTTTCCATCCCTAGCTGCTTGAGTAATTCCTCTGAAAATGGAGGGGTGGGGAGAGAGAAACAGTATGACCAAGGGAAATCTTAGATTCTGACCCTTTCCCACATATATTGTTGGCAAACTTATCATAAGCCAGAACCTGGGCTGGTTAATGGATTTATGGCTGTGAACAAAACAGACATGGACCCCTTGCAGCTCTCCCTCTGACCCCAACCCAGTAATGCCCAGACTTCTGTGAGTGCCCATATGTCCAACTCTCAACCCCAGCTGTGAATTTCAGTTCTGAGTGGTCCGTGGGCCAGGTGAGCACCAACACATCATACAAGGCCTTCAGTTCCCAGTGGATCAGTGCAGTCCTTGGGCTGCAGGTTGGGCTGGGAGGAGTCAACATCACACTCACAGGTAAGGGCGGGCTCTGACCTGGGAGGGAGGGGAGGCTCTGCTCTCTGCCTCTTGGGTCTGATTTGGTATGGTCTGCATGGGGGGATGGTAGGAAGGGAAAGTCCCAGGTCTTGGAAGCTGCCAACTGAGACCAGCTCCTGTCCCTCTCTGCCCAATGTGGTGAGCCTCTCCCCAGCTAAATGCCCACTCTGGCCCTTGGGTCTCTGCTGAGCACAGCTGCCCCCTTCCCCAGGGACCCCAGTGCAGCAGCTGAATGAGACCATCAATTACAATGAGCAGTTCACCTGGCACCTGGGCGAGAACTATGCCACGGAGTATGCAAAAGCTCTGGAGAAGGGGCTGCCGGACCCCGTGCTCTACCTGGCCGAAAAGTTCACCCCAAACAGCCCGTGTGGCCTGCATGGCCAGTACCGCCTGGCAGGACACTACACCTCAGCTGCACTGTGGTGAGGGTGGGACAGAGGCCCTGCTGGTCTGACCCATAAACAGGGTTTCTACCCATCTCTCCTCCACTCCTGTGGAGGTCCCTGGAGGGACAGGCTGTGATGCCCCTCACCCTGGTGCTCAGTTGGGAAGCCCACAGGCAGGTATCGTTACCTCATATCTTTGGGGTGTCCTTGAGCCTCTACCTTGGTCCCTCCAGATAGAGGGATCTAGGCCAGCCTTCACTAGGTTTTGGCTCCCCAGGGTGGCATTCCTCTGCTGGCTGCTGGCCAATGTGATGCTGTCCATGCCGGTGCTGGTCTACGGTGGCCACATGCTTCTGGCCGCAGGCATCTTCCAGCTGTTGGGGCTGCTCTTCTTCTCCCTGGCCACGTCACTCACCCCACCGTGCCCCCTGCACCTGGGCGCTGCTATGCTGCACGCTCACTGTGGGCCTGCCTTCTGGATCACATTGACCACAGGTGAGGCCCAGCCCTGAAGACAAGCACTGGAGGGCTTAGTGCCAGGAACCATCGTGCTGGTGGGTTGAGGGTCTGCTCCTCAGGACCAGGATGCCTTTCTCTCTTCAAAGCCCCATCCCTCTCACATCCCTCTTCTCTGGATTTTTCTCTCCCAAGTTCCACTCCCCACTCCACCCATATGTCTCCTGTGTCTCCTCTCCATCCCTGTCATGTCCCTCATCCTCTAATTCTGTCTTCAGCAAGCTTTTCTCCAAATCTTCTGATCCATGATCTCATGTCCCCTCCCACTTTCCCCACTCCCTCTGTGTTCCCCATTCCTAGAACCTTCCTCCATCCCTTCCTCACATAGCCTTAAATTATCCTGCAGTTTTATTCTCCTCTGCTGTCCCACTGTGCCTGCCCCCTCAGTGCCCTTCCCCATGCCTCCTCCTCTGGGCCCTGCTCTTCCCCAGGGTTTCTGTTTTCAGAGTTCTCTCTTTCTCTCTCCCTCTTTCTCTTCCTCTCCCCAGTTAGGATGTAACTGAAAGAAGACTGGGCTTAGAGTCCAAAAACTCGGAAAACAGAGCCATACCAGCTGTATGATGAAAGGCCACTCACCTCTCTGAGCCCAAGTTGCCCTGAAGCAGGGACATCAGGCCTCCCTTAGAGTTGCCTTGCTGCTCTTAGAAGATGTCCTTGGGAGGGTGTTCCTGTCACTAAGGTCGACATCTGTTGCCTCATCCCCAGGACTGCTTTGTGTACTGCTAGGCCTGGCTGTGGTGGTGGCGCACAGGATGCAGCCCCACAGGCTGAAGGCTTTCTTCAACCAGAGTATGGGGGAAGGTGCCATGCTGGAGTGGAATCCTGAGGAAGGGGGACTCCTGAGCCCCCACTACCGGTCCATGGCAGAGAGTCCTGAGCCCCAGGACATTCCTCTGTCGGAGGATTTCTCCAAGACTTGCTGCAAGGAAGAACACCCCAGAGAGCCTGACTGTGCCCTTTAAAACTCCTCTTCCTGGTGGTCACCTGGGCCCCCTCTCTGGCTCCAGACCTCCTGGGAGCCTCACAGGCCCATCAGAACTGCCTCCCAGAAAGGTTGTATCGGGCTGCCAGTCCCCAGTCTGTAGAAAAAGGAGACTCACCCTACTGATGCTAAGAAAACAAAACAGAACTCCCTAAGGTGCTGAACAGACATCAGGGCTGCTCATAAGCCACCACCATGTCAGTCCAAGCAGCAGCCGTCCATTTCTGCAGAGCAACGCTGCCTTGCCTTGAGACTTTGCCTCTTCAAGGTATCATTATTGAAACCCAACTTCACCCACGACGGTGTGTGTGGAGGGGAGGTTACCCTGTGTGATTCCCCTGTGGTCCCTCTTATCCCTCTGCACCTCTGGTTTTCCTTTTTCCTGGGTCCCTTTTGTTCTTCCTTTACTTTCCCAGCTTGCATGATCTCTTGGTACAATGAAAGCCCTGGGAGAAAGAAGGAACCAAACTTCCCACACCAGGTATAATATTAACCGAATGTGCCACATTCTCTTGAGCTGTAGTTCTCAATCTCAAATTTGTCAAATAAGATTGTAGGACTTGCCGAGGACCTAAAAAAAATCCAGTATTTACATTTTTATGCCTTGCTGATATCTACCTTGGCCCTCGGATACCACTCCTTAGTGAATGAACTGGAATTAGTAAGTAAACTCCAAAACACCATTCCTTCTTAGCCCACTCAGCTGAGCTAGCAGAAGGGGATGCCCCTGGGCCAGTGGGAGGGTGACCTGCCTGGGCACTGCTCCCCTACTATCCACCTGGGACCTCTCAGGGAGATGCTGGCTTTGGTCAGTTCTCCTCTGGGCTCACTAGAGGCCCTCACTCCTCTCCCAGAGCCTGTCCCAGGTTACTCTGGGTTCTCCAGACCCAGAGAATCTGGTTTCCTGACAAAGCAGAGAAAGAGTGTACCAGGCTACCTCCAGCCAAGGGAAGTCTTCCAGTGGCGCATATCCCCCAAGAGCCTGGGAAAGCCATGGAAATTAATGGAAAAAAGTTTTTTAGAAACAAAAGCAAAAAGAATTTATTTACAACTCACCCTGGGAGACTTTCCTGATTGCATGAGGCCTTGGCACCTGCAGCATGGTGCCCCTCCTGACGTTCTCCTGGGTGCCGGGAAGGAGGCAGGATGGGAATCCAAAATTGAGTCCCCTTCACAGGTTAGTACTGATGATTAAGTCCGAGGCCCCCAACTGCTCCCACAGTTCATTGTTCAGGGTGAGAGGTGACCTCCCCCTCACATGGCTACCACAGTCCTTGACGCTTTGGTTCAAGAAGATGCGAAGAGCTCTGGGTTGAGCATAGTGGAGACTGACCACTGCCACACCAAGGAGGAGACACAGGAGGCCTGCAGCAGCCGGGTGGGAAAGAAAGGGGGTGGTCAAAGCCAAGGCCTGACCCTCTCCATCTTTTGGGGACCCCTGCACATTTCCTTCCCTAACACCCAGCCGTAGAAAGACTTCTAATACCGATTACGTGATGTACAGGTTTCAGAGCTAACTAGGACAGGCTATGGAACCTTTCTGAATCCCCTCCCCTCATTTGTAAAATGAACATAATAACAGTGTCTGCTTTTACAAACTACTGAGAGGGGCAAATTAGATAATATATGTGCACACATTTTGTAAAGTGGAATGCACACACTGGTATAAATTCTGTCTCTGCCACCAGCCTCCCCTTTGGCCCATCCCCTTGGTCCTCACCGGTGGCTAGCGTGACCCAAAAGGCAGCACCGTAGTGAGTGGTGAGCTTGGAGGAGCCGAGGTGGAGCGGGCAGAGCGGCACGCCGGAGATGGAGGCAAAGGCAGAGACGGAGAAGAGCGCACAGGCACCCGTGGTCAGGAGTGCTAGGCCCCCGTAGAGCGGGACGGGCATGGCGAGCAGCACATTGGAGAGCAGCCAGAAGCAGAACGCCACCCTGCCGGGGGACCAGCTGCGCTGTGAGCCAGATTCCCCCAGCCGGCCTGGGTTCCCACAGTCTCGCTTCCTCTGTGTCCCCAGCCCAGAACGAAAGCCAGAGGCTAGGGTGGCCGAGGCGCATGGGGACCCCTGGGGAATAGCTGGCTTCCAGTTGTGGCTGGGTCCCTCCGTATTCCCATGGTCTGTGCAGACTTTGTGACCTGATCGTCCAGGCAGTAATTCTCACTCCCGGTGCCTTGGCGCTCACAGCCCAGCCCTCAGCTTGCAACACACACACACACACACACACACTCTCACTCTCTCTCTCTCTCTCTCTCTTTCTCTCTCGTCTAACGCTCACCACAGCATGGCCGAGGCGTAGTGTCCTGCCAAGCGGTACTGGCGGTAGAGCCCACAGGGGCTATTAGGAGTAAACTTCTCAGCCAAGTAGAGAACCGGATCCGGCAGCCCCTTTTCCAGTGCCTCTGCATACTCCTTGGCATAGTCCTGGCCCAGATGCCAGTTGAACTGTTCGTTGTAGTCAATGGTCTCGTCCAGCTGCTGCACTGGGGTCCCTGCAGAAGGTCAGACTAACAACTAAGCATATTTGGATAGAAAAATGGGGATGCGAGTTGGGGAAAACAGAAATCCACCAGGACTGAAAGTTGTTCTGAATCTGTAGGATCTGAGAGGGCCTCCAGCTGCACCTGCACACTCCCCCAGCTGCCAAGCCAGCCCCAGGAGTTCATTTTGCCCCCTCACCTGTGAGTGTAATATTAATTCCCTCCAGGCCGACGTGCAGACCGATTTGGGCTTCAATGCGTGCTGCGCTGAAAGCCTTGTAGGATGTGTTGGTGCACACACTACCCGCTGACCACTCTGTGCTGAAGTGCACCGCTGTGGAGAGGGGCACATGGTGGTGAGGGGTTAGGGAGAGGACTGGGGAACTGAAATTGGGAAACTGTGATAGAGGTGGAACACTGCAGAGATGGGCCCAATGTGATATACAAGGTAAGGGCAGAAGAGTGGGCACTAGAAAGGGCTGGAGAATAGGAAGATAGGAAGAGCAGGAAACCAACCCCAGTTCTCCATTTCCCAGATACCCTCTGCCCACCTCCTCCTCATCCCAAGTCCTCTCCCCGTCTGCTGCATCACACACTCACCCACAATTTCTGAGCCTATGAACAGACTGAGAAGAACTCTCACCAACCAGAACCAGCGCTGCAGGAACAGGCAACCAGGTCAGGCTTGGGTACAGCCCAGCCAAAGTCTCCAAGACCTCCCTTGACCCCACAGTACCCAGATCTTTAGTGCCCCTGCAACTGCCCCCTCTTGCCCTACACCCTTTCCCAGTTACTTTCCTGACGTTTTGGGGCTGCAGTCAGGCTTGCTTTTTGTGTAAGTTCCTCTGAAGCACTGGTATTTCTGATTTCTGGCCCTGTGCTTCTGCCTCCTCAGCCCCATTTCCTAGTCCGCCCTGCGATAGAACTGTCTCCACCTGAGACTCTCACCCCTTCACTCCTACAGTTATCTGCCTTCTGGTCCTGGTCCCACCTCCTGCTCCAGTCACTGCTGTGGTGAGGGTCAGTGAGTCCAGAAGTGCTAGTCAGGTAGGGCTCACCTCCCCCAGGAGAGGGAGGCCCCAGGGGCTGGTCACTGAGGAGAGGAAGTGGGAACACAGTCTCTCAGATATTCCTAGGTGAACCAATTTCCCAGGAAACCAACAGATCAAGAATTCAGGGAGACTAGGTCCTCCTAAACTTGAAAAACAGACAACTTGGATTCTAGAAAAAGGAGTGTAAGCACCTAGTCAGCTGCAACTTCAAATCCTGTGTGGGAGTCTCTGAGTCCTTAGGATGGGGGCACCCATACTCATGTGTCTCAACCCAGCACACAGGTGAAACACAGCAGTCTGAGTTGCTGGTTTCTGTCCTCTTGGCCAGACGGTCATTGCTCCCAGGATGGGATGGTAGTGGGGAAGGGAGTGGACAGCAGTCTGAGGTCAGGAGGGAGGCCCTGGCAGCTCTGAAACACTAGAATGGCTGCAGGATTATTGGATTGGCCACCCTCTCTCTGCAGAAGCCTCCTGAATATTACTGCTGGGGTCAGTCTCTAGGATGTCTTGTACAGGACCTCTGTCTGTCCTGGAGAAGGGGCGCAAGCTGACCCAGACCTCTGGGCTGCTCCACCTAGGCCTCTCTGGTTCAGTGATTCTGCCTACTCAGAGGCCCTTGCCTCAGTCTTGCCTGTCCTGGGTCCTCCAGAGACAGCTGCCTGTGATGCCCTCCACCCCAGATGCCAGCATCTAGTACCACTTTACCGAGTGGCCACGAATCCCGGGCAAGATGAGCAGGAAGCTGGCGGCCAAGGCCAAGAACACCAGAATGACGACGAGCAGCGGGACGTTGAAGCCAGCAGCTCGCCGAAGCTGGGGGTAAAAAGGCAGCTCGTGGTTCCACAGGGTCATGCTGCAACGTGGCCGAGCGCTGCGGCGGCAAGCAAGCTGGCGAACTGGGTCTGCTTCAGAGGGGAGAGCCCGCCCCTGGTTGCCAGCCCTGGGCCCACTTCTTGTTACCCTGCCGTCAGCGTGCGAGGAGGAGACCCAAAAGGGGTTATTAAGTCTGAGCCTAGGGAAGCGCAGCGTCTGGCTACCCTCCAGTGCTCGGTGTGGGCTCGGGCAGAGTCTGGTAGGTGGGAGATCCGAATTATTTCTCACCGACCGTAACCCCTTAGTTTCGCTGCTCTGAGGGTTCGCTCAGCGTTTGGAAGTCGCGCGGGATTCGGACCCCTTTTATAGCAGCGCGGGCAACAGGCGGAGCGTTGTCTGGGTTTGGCAGCCGCGTCAGGGAAAGAACTGATCTTGCAAATGAGGGGGCAGAGGTTGTTATGTAAGTGAAAGGAGCCCCGCCTCCACAACAATAGTCGAGTCCCGGGTCCAGATGCTCACACCTGGCGCAGGTCTGGCCTGAGCGGACTACTGCGCAGCTGGCATCAGAGGGGCAGCAGGAGGGTAAGGGTGCAGCCGGGGAGGCTGGGGATCGGCGGAGCTGGGGATGGGGTTGGAGCACAGGCAGCAGTGCAGAGAGAAAATATTCCAAAGGGAAGGAGACTTCTGACCCGGATGGGGGCCCTAAACCAGAGTTTGGACTGGGGCTTGGAGCCTGATTTTCCCATCGCTCGTGTCCGTGCACAGACATTCACTGCGCGGTATGAGGGGCTTCAGGTCCGGGGCTCCCACTCACCAGCCACTTTTTCTTTCCTTTCTCCCAGGGGAAACAAACACTTCCTGGGAGGCTGGGAGTGCGGATTCACGATTAGAAGTGCGGATTCGGTAGCCCTGGGAGGCTGGAGGTGAAGTTCTGATTAGGACTGAAAAGTCCCAGAAGACTGTACCCCGTGGGTTCTTGTGGTCAGCGTTAGTTCTTCGACGGGGTGGAGAGTGGGGACCAGCTTCAGTGCCTATCAGGTGTCCTGAAAGAGTCGCGTGTGGATGTGGATCCTTGGTATTGCCTCTAAAGCTTCTCTCCAGAAGTGGAAACAGCTGGCGCCTCCTCCTCCTGTGCCAGCTGTTGGCGTGGGGGACGCCAACTCCGTGTCCCTCACATACCACCTCCTTCCAGCCAGGCCGCGAGGTGAGCATGCTCTGCGCAAAGCCAGAAGCACTGGTGCTCCTGGGAGCTCTGCTGATTGTACGTCTGGATCCAGCGGGTAAGTATCAGGCTCCCCTAGCTTCGGGATGTCATCCAGTAACCCCTGGATAGGGGAAGAAAGAAGTGCGGGCAAGAGACTCCCTGAGGCTGGGAGATGCGGTCAGATCGCTGCTCAGCTTAGCCGGATGGGAAACATCCCAGGCTGCCTCCACGCCACCCAGGTATCGCCAGTTGGGTCGCATTGGGGGCACTCGGAGAGCCGGAGAAGCACTGGCGAAGCCTTGGGGGTTCCCTAGAGGTCTCAGGAAGGCTAGCGCTGAGGGGGACCACACTCTGACCCGCAGGCGGCAGAGATGTATTCTCACTGTCCTGGGAAGTGCAGCGTTATGACGGCTGGTTCAACAACCTGAGGCACCACGAACGTGGCGCTGCCGGTGAGTCCAGTGGCCGGGGTGGGGTGGGGGGAATGGCTAGTGGAGGGCAGGGGAGCGGGGGACCCGGCGCGGCGAAGGGGAAAGAGCGCGCCACCAGCCGCCCTCCTGCCGGCGCAGCCACCCTCTGTGCACTCCCGCGGCCAGGAGACCGTGAACAGAAGGGCTCTCGCCAGTGAGGGGTGGTGGTGGTGGTGGGTTTGTGGGCCTGTTGGGAGCCGAGTGCTCTGATGGAGCCCGCTCCCTGCTTCCCGCAGGCGTCCGGTTGCAGCGCCTCGTACCAGCAAGTTACGCTGACGGCGTTTATCAGGCTCTGGGAGAGTCGCTGCTGCCCAACCCGCGCCGACTCAGCGATGCCGCCATGCGGGGCAGAGCCGGGCAGGCATCCCGCCGGAACCGCACAGTGCTGGGGGTCTTCTTTGGTGAGAGCAAAGTGGGAAAACATTGGGTTGACCAGGCGCTTACCTCAGCGCCTAGGAAAAGGGGCCCTGAGACCCCTGCCCAAGTCCACAGGGGACTGACCCGAGGCTTCCAGACACCCCATCCTCCGACCAAGCAGCATTTACAGCTTTTTCTTCATCTCCGTGGGATTTGGGGGTGTCTATTCAGGTATACTTGTTCCCCTAATCTTTCTCTTACCCATTACTCCAAACCCAGGAGTGCCTCTAGTCCTCCATTACAGTTCTGAGGAACTGAGTCCCCTGCCACGGTTCTCCCCCCACCTGTGATTATAACCTCTTTCCCCATAGAAGGAGGAGGATACACAGTCTGTTGGGAGATGGAGACTAACTTGGGAGAGCCCTTACATTAGCTATATTATTTTGATTCTTACAACAACGCTGTGAAGTGGGTGGGAAGGGTACTACTCACTGCAGGTCAGAAAAAAGCTGAAGAGCGGTGCCGTGCATTTCTCATTTAACTTTTGAGAAACGGAGAAACTCCCTGGCTAGCGGGAGTGGCGATTCTCACCACTTTGCACTCTGCGCGCACAGGCTACCACGTGCTCTCGGACCTGGTGAGCGTGGAGAGACCCGGCTGCCCACCCGAGTTCCTCAACATCCCCATCCCGCCCGGAGACCCTGTGTTCGACCCTGACCAGCGCGGGGACGTGGTGCTGCCCTTCCAGAGGAGCCGCTGGGACCCTAAGACTGGACAGAGCCCCAGCAACCCCCGGGACCTGGTGAGACCAGGCAGGCGGGCTGGACGTGAGGCAGGCGGGGTCCTGGGTTCGGAGCCTGGTAGGGTCAGGTCGGGGGAGGCCTCCCAGCCCCCACCGACGGACACCCGCCTGGCCCTGGCCAGCCCTTACCCACCTCAGCTAGCCGCCCCCGGCTCACCCTCCTGGTGCCCCACAGACCAACGAGGTGACGGGCTGGCTGGACGGCAGCGCCATCTATGGCTCCTCACACTCCTGGAGCGACGCGCTGCGGAGCTTCTCCGGGGGACAGCTGGCGTCGGGGCCCGACCCCGCCTTCCCCCGGGATGCACAGGACCCTCTGCTCATGTGGACCGCGCCCGACCCCGCCACCGGACAGCGCGGGCCTCAGGGGCTGTACGGTGAGGCCGCGGGGCCGGGCTGGCCGTTGGTTGGCGTGAGGCGCTCAGGGCGCGCCCAGGGCTCACCGGAGGGCGGGCTGGGAGCCAGCGAGCGTGGGCTCCTCTTGGTCACACCGCCGCTCTTTCTCCTCTCTGCGTGCCCGCGTGGCATGCAGCCTTCGGGGCAGAGCGAGGGAACCGCGAGCCTTTCCTGCAGGCGCTGGGCCTGCTCTGGTTCCGCTACCACAACCTGTGCGCACAGAGGCTGGCCCTCCAGCACCCGCACTGGGGGGACGAGGAGCTGTTCCAGCACGCGCGCAAGAGGGTCATCGCCACCTACCAGGTCAGTCGCATGCCCCTCCTGCCACGTCCTGTCCCTCCATCCTTGGACATCCCCCACCCAGAAACGCCCCTTCTCACGAGGGCACCCCTTCCCAGGGAGCTAACGTCCAGGACAAGCCCCTGAGCTCTACAAGACACTTGTTTTTTTTTGGTATCATTAATCTACAATTACATGAGGAACATTATGCTTACTAGACTCCCCCCATCACCAAGTCCCCCCCACATACCCCATTGTAGTCACTGTCCATCAGCATAGAATCACTACTTGTCTGCTCTGTGTTGTACAGCCCTCCCTGTGCCCCCCTTACATTATGTCTGCTAATAGTAATGCCCCCTTTTTTTCTACAAGACATTTTGCTTGTGATTATTTAGTGCTCCCCTTGTGAGTTGTGGGGGACCAGCCTCCGCAGGTCCCCTGTATGAGTTGCCTCTCCCTGACTGTCCCTGCCTGGTCCTCATCTCCCACCCAAGCCTTCCTTGGTCTCAGATCCCTCCCAGCCCCACAGCTCCAGCGCTGGCCTTTCATTTCCCCTCTTGACCTTTAGAACATTGTCCTGTACGAGTGGCTGCCCAGCTTCCTGCAGAAAACACCCCCAGAATATAAAGGTGAGGGAGTTGTGGACATCTGGGCTGATGGGGTTAAGGGCAGGATCCATGCAGGAAAAACAGATGGGTGCATGTGGTGGGAGGATGTGAGAAAAGGAGCCTGTTTCTCTTCTTACCCGTTGGACAGGGTACCGCTCTTTCCTGGATCCCAGCATCTCTCCAGAGTTCCTGGTGGCATCTGAGCAGTTCTTCTCCACCATGGTGCCTCCTGGTGTCTACATGAGGTGAGGAGGGTGCTGGCAGCAGGAGAGGCACAGCACACTGGCAGAGGTGGCGAATATTGGCCTTGGGGGCCTCTTATACAGCTCCACAATTTCATGGGGGAAGAGAAGCAGAACAGGGCACCCTGAAATAGAACTCTAGGGTAAAAGGTTCAGTCTTAACAAGCTGCTCCTAATGGCTAAACTTCAGTTGCTGAGAATAGGATTTGTCCAGCAGCTGGGTCACTCTCTTCCCTCCTTCCCTTCCCACCCTGGGCGGACAATGAGCAAATCCACACATATTACTAAATCCCTGATATGTTCAAGAAAGTTCAGGGGCCTCTCCTCCATACTAGCCAAAACCCTCTGAGTCCTTCATTGCACAGAACCCCATCTCAGCTACCTCCTTGAATTTTCTTATCACATCCTTGATTCCCCATTTCAGAAATGCCAGCTGTCATTTCCAGGTGGTCCTGAATAAGGATTCCAGCAGCTCCCCAGCTCTAAGAGTCTGCAACAGCTACTGGATTCGGGAGGTCAGTCTGGGATCAGGGTCAGGGGTAGGTGGGCTGGGATCAGTCTTGTCACACAGGCAGGGAAAAGCAAAGATTTCAGTTTTTGGGTGTTGCTGCTCTAGGGTCGGGGGAGGTGACAGGTAGAATGATCAGAAAATTATCTGGGGACAACAGCTCAAGAGAGTCTAGGACTGGCCAGGGACACTTCATCCTGAGGAGCTGCAGTGGTCCAGGGTAAGAGGGACCAGACTCAAGAGCCTACCTTAACTGTGTTGTTTACTTTCAGAACCCCAATCTGAACAGTGCCCAGGCGGTGAATCATCTGCTGCTAGGAATGGCCTCCCAGATTGCAGAGCTGGAGGACAGGATAGTGGTTGAAGATCTGAGGGGTGAGCTCTGGAGTTAGAGGGGTTGAGGGCCCAGAGGTCAGGGGGCCCTTCTGGGTTAAACAGTAGGCAGACCCAGGGTACCTGCAATGCAGGAACACAGACACACACTGCATGGAGCCCCTAGAAGAAAATACGCTTGAACTTCTTTTCTTGGCTTAATTTTATTGCTTTTATTCTAAATTACCTGTGTCTGAGTATGTGGGGAGAGAGGTGGCATCACAATCTCTTTAGTGCTTAGGTCTGTGAGGGTTTTCACCCAGCCCTGTCTTGAGGTTGGGGAGGGGAAGGATGAGGAGTTCACTGCAGGTGACCACAACAGTCTTGAGTCTTAGGGGAAGAGTCTTGCCAGAAAAATTGTCCTTGTCCACATTTGGTGACATTGCCCCCACACCAAAACAAGGTCAATATGGACACAAATCACATGTTGAGGAGTGCTGGGGGTGGGTAGTGCCAACAGCCCAATTCAAGGCTGCTGGATAAAGGGTTGGGAAGACTGAGTCTATGACCTGGTCTCTCCTCCTCAGATTACTGGCCTGGCCCCGGCAAGTTCCCCCGCACAGACTATGTGGCCAGCAGCATCCAACGTGGCCGAGACATGGGGCTGCCTAGTTATAGCCAAGTCCTGCTGGCTTTAGGGTTCGAGACCCCAAGGAACTGGAGTCACATCAACCCCAGTGTGGACCCCCAGGTCAGGAACAGTAATGATAATAATAGCTGCTAAATTTTTCTTCTGGCTTAACTACATAACTATTCCAAGTCTTTTACATATATAACTCACTTAATCTGTGTCAAGAACATCAGAGGCTAAATACTATCATTATCTCCATTTTACCAATGACATAAGACAGTCAGTCATAGAGGCAGGATTTAAATTCAGTCATCCGATTCTAGACTATGTTTTCACCACTACACTGTGCAATTCCGCAGGGTGGCCCCTACATTGGGTTCTGTTGTCCTATTTCTGCAAAGTCCCTCCCCATAAGCTGGATGACGCTGAAGCTGCTAATCACTTGGGCCAGGCAGTCTAGGTAGCAATGGTCACAAGATATGCTTCTCAGGCAGCTAGCCATGGTTTCACCAAGGGCAGAGACACACTGGTCCTCCCAACAGACTTGCCACCACCCGAGGGGGCTGCCAAGAAATAGGAGACTCCCTCAGGCTGAGCAGCCAGCCAGGCAGCTGATGGGGTCCAGTGTTTGAGGGTTCGGGCAACGGTGGCTGCTCTCCCCAAGACACACACACATGCACACATACGCCTTACCTCCTGTGGTGCCCCAGGTGCTGGAGGCCACAGCTGCCCTGTACAGCCAGGACCTGTCCCGGCTGGAGCTGCTTCCCGGGGGCCTCCTGGAGAGCCACGGGGACCCTGGGCCGCTCTTCAGCACCATTGTCCTCGACCAGTTTGTGCGGCTGCGGGATGGTGACCGCTACTGGTTTGAGAACACTGGGAATGGGTAAGGCCTGCTGGGCCCCTGCCTCAGACTCCATGTTGGCCTGGACCCCAGACCCTCCCCTATAAATAGCCCCCAAGGGCCCTTGATTCCAGCTGGCTCCACTCCCTCCACAGTCCCTCTGGGTCTCTTTCCTCATCTGAGTCCCTGGACCTGATGCTGCTGGAGGTCTTCATCCCCTTCCCATCCCAATAATTTCTTTAACTTAGGCTGTTCTCTATGGAAGAAATTTCAGAAATCAGAAACACCACTCTGTGGGATGTGCTGGTGGCTGTCACCAACGTGGACCCCAGTGCCTTGCAGCCCAATGTCTTTTTCTGGCATGAAGGTGGGTGGGGTGGGAGCACACAAGCCATGGCAACCAGAGGGAGGACTAAGATTGGGGGGAATGGCGTGGTGCTGTCCAGGGAGCCAGGCACCAGGCAGCCCCTTCTGTGTCAGGCTGGGAGGCCTGCATTAGGCTGCCTCCCCCTGCAGGACTGGACTGGCTTGCAGGTTGCACCCTGGCGTCAAGCTGGGATGCATGCTAAGAGACAGGCTATGGAAGGGGCCTTTCTGGGGGCCAAGTTCCAGGGAGGTGGGCCTAGAAGGGAGGAGGGCACCTAGTCCTTTACTGAGAGAGAGGAGGGATGCTTAGCCAAGGAGTGTGTTCCTCAGGCTTCTGGGTCTTCTGTGCTCTCCCTCAGGCGCACCCTGCCCTCAGCCCCAGCAGCTCACAGCCAAAGGCTTGCCTCCCTGTGTGCTCCTGACTGAGTCTGACTACTTTGAGGGCAGTGGTCCTGGTTTTGGCATCACCATCGTAGCTCTCTGCTGCCTTCCTTTAGGTGAGCCCTTCACCCCTTGACGATCTCTGTTCTCTGGGCTCCCTGCCAGGACTGTCCCTGTCCCTCCTTACGGGCTGGTCTGGAGGACTAGCTCCTTGGTAGAGTTGAACCAGACTCAGGGGACCTTTTGAAGGGAGGGGCAGCAGCCAAAGCCTCAATGAAGCTGCAGGCAAGGGGTCCCCTCCCACTCCTTCTGACCCTCTCCAGTCAGTCTGCTTGTCTCTGGGGTGGTGGCCTATTTCCGGGGCCGAGAGCGCAAGAAGTTACAAAAGGAAGTCAAGGAGAGTGTGAAGAAAGAACCAGCCAAAGATGTAGTGCAGGGTGAGATGGGGCTGAAGGGAGGGAGGGGAGGGAGAGGAGGGAGCGGGAGGGCGGAGGGGCAGACAGAAGGGGGAGGAGTGCAGAGGGAGGGCCCTGGCGGAAAGAACCAGGTTACAGACATAGGGAGAAAGACAGGCTTTGGGGTGCCTGCTCAGGCTGGCTGAGTGGACCTGGCCCAAGGGCAGGGGCCTGCACACCGCTGCGTGACCACTCTCCCCAATCATCCCTCCTGCAGCGATGGAGTGGCTGGGCCCCAAACAGAGGAGTTACCCCATCGCCATCCAGCTGCTCCCAGACAGGCGTCTGCAGGTCCTGGACAGGCGTCTCTCGGTGCTCCGCACTGTCCAGCTGCAGCCGCCACAGCAGGTCAGCCTCATCCTGTCCAACAACCATGGAAGCCTTGCCCTGCTGCTCAAGATCCCCAAGGAGTATGACCTGGTACGGCCCATCCCGACTCGCCCACCAGGAACACCTCACACATCTGCCCTTGTAGCAAGTCCCCTCAGGTCACACTGTCCTCAGCTGCAGAGCTCACCTGTGAAGGCTGAGACTGGGGAGAGGCACCCCTCTCAGAGGTTCCCAGACTCAACCTGAACCTCCTTCCAACCCCCTTAGGCCAGTAGCTTGGCTCCACCCTGGATGAACAACTGGGGCAGCTTTTCTCTCCTTCCCCAACCCAAGGCCCTTTGAGGAAAGGCTGAACCAGAAGCTTGAGCTCTGAGCCTTAGCACAGGCTTCCTCCCACCCAGGTGCTGCTGTTTAAGTTTCAAGAGGAACGGGACGCCTTCGTGCAGCAGCTGCAGGGCTTCTGTGAGTGCTGGGCTCTGGGTCTCAGTGTGGCTAAGGTGGATGCGAAGGAGCTGTTCAGGAAGGCCGTGACGAAGCAGCAGCGGGGCCGCATCCTGGAGGTCTTCTTCAGACACCTTTTTTCTCAGGTGCCATGGCCGTGCCTTCTGGAGGTGGGACCAGCCCAGGGGTTGGAGGGAACCTGGGCCCTGTGTGGGGTGAATAAGCTTGCACTCTGTGGGCTGGACACAGACAGCCCTGGTGGAATCCTGGCCTTGCCACTCACTAGCTGCATGATCTTAAGCAAGGCACATATCTGTGCTCTGCACCTGTTTGCTTGTCTGTAGAACAGTGATTAAGATAGGATCCATCCCATTGGGCTGTTGTGAGGATTCATGAGATAGTCCACGTCAGTCGTTCTGAGAGTTTGGTCCCTGGACCAGCAGCAGCCTCACCTGGGCATTTGTTAGAAATGCTGATTCTCAGTGCACCTCCCACCCAGACCTAGTGATTCCGGAACTCAGCTGTTGGGGGCTGCAAGCCCTCCAGGGGATTCTGATACATTGTAAAGTCTGAAGAACACTGTTCTATGTACAGTGTTTAGCCCTAGTACTTGGTACATACAGACATTTAATAAATGGTAGTTATATTTATATGACTTTTAAATCTTGCACAATGGGCAGATACAAAATCAGGGACATGCAGCCCTTTCTGAACTGACGAGAGAACATAACCCTAGCCCCTTCCTGCCTGTCTACCCATGCCTACTTCATCTTCTGTCCCCAGTGTAGGCTCTCTCATTTTGCATTCCCAAACTTTGCCCCTTCCTGCTCCCACCCCTCACCCCTACAAACCTACGCTGTTCCTACTGTATAAAGCTCCTGGTTCTTGGGTCCAGGGAGAAAATGCAGCAGCTGCTTGAGATTAGAGCCACCGCCTCTGCAGGAGAGCAGAGGCCCAAGTCAGAAGTATATCTAAGAGCCAGAAATGGCCACCAGGGCTTACCCTTTCTGAGCTGGACTTTGGGGAGATGTGAGGAGTCATTGAACTGCTTCTAGCCCAGGCCTCACCTCCTTCTCTCCCTCCTCTATTGGTGCCCAAGTGCAGGTGCTGGACATCGACCAGGTGGACGCAGGAACCCTGCCCCTGGACTCATCACAGAAGGTGCGGGAGGCCCTGATGTGTGAGCTGAGCAGAGCCGAGTTTGCTGAGTCTCTAGGCCTCAAGCCCCAGGACATGTTTGTGGAGTCCATGTTCTCTCTGGCTGACAAAGATGGCAATGGCTACCTGTCCTTCCGGGAGTTCCTGGACATCCTGGTGGTCTTCATGAAAGGTGGGAAGGGGGGATGATGTACCATTCCAGGAATCAGGAGTCTTTCAGAAGAGAGGTGACCTGCCTCCCTCCTTCTCTGCCCAGGCTCCCCAGAGGATAAGTCCCACCTGATGTTCACCATGTATGATCTTGATGCAAATGGCTTCCTCTCTAAGGACGAGTTCTTCACTATGATGCGGTATGGGGTGGGCCCTTCCTGTCCTGAGACTTCCTGGGGTGTTAAACAGGAAGGTAAGTCAGGTGAGAGGAGGGCGGCCTAGATACTGCATCTGAGACTCTCACAGCATTCAGCTTCAGAAGTTTATCTGGCCAGGACCCTGCCTCCAGGAGAGTCTGTATCTGCACTGTCAGCACCAGCCAGAATACTCTCCCTCCCTAATTGAAAAAAGCGAAACAAAAAACATCACCACCAATATGACCAATAACAAAAGTGCACTAACCCCTCTTGGATGCCTTTGGACCTTTGTTAAGTTCTCGTCCAGCATGCCTAACGCTGTGCTTCACACAGTGAGATAATGGATGGAGGATGGAGGACCTTGGTTGCTCTTCCAATGTTAATCACCATGACAGACAGGAGGAGAAACACGGAATGTTCCCCTATCTAACCCTTGTCTCTTCCTGCTTCTTAAGCCTTTCTGGTTGTGGTGTGCCCATAAAGACCAGTTTTGAGCTCATAGACTTCTTATTCCTGAAGACTTCTATTCCAGTAATAGAGCCCCCTTCAGCTCTGTAAGGACAGCTCTGTAAGAACTCTCTCTGATTCCTCTCTCTGATTCCTGCTGAATCACCTCTCTCTCTGATTCCTGCTGAATCCACCTTCTACACCCCGTGACTGGCACATAGCAAGCATTCAATACATAGTTAACTGAATCAGAGAAATAAAGGAGGAAATGAGTAAATAGAATGCATAAAACAGCCCAGAATCTTTTCACTTTACTACCTCTTTAGGCCCTCCCAATGCTTTCAGCACTCCTTTTAACTGCCACATCACTATGTGTCACACACAGTCCAGAAACCACAACTGGACATGGGCTTCTAGAAGGGCTAGAAAGATGCTAACTGCATCCATAGCTCTCTGGGTGTGCCATGGCAGGCCAACCAGGGTGGGTGCAAGGGAATCTAAGAGGGTCCCTGTTCCCAAGGACTGAGGTCCCAGCTGCTCGCCATATACTAGGTGTGAATTTTGCTCAGTCTCACTGGGATGATAGTTTTTTTTAATGTGGCAGCTCTTGCTGTGCCACGTGCACAGAGATCTTTTTCTGCTGGACTCATGCAACCTTGCATGGTTTTTTTTTGTCTCAAAGCACAGCCTAAGAGAAGTGTATGGCCACTGCAGCTGTCACTGTAGGTGCTGTCAGATGGGGTCCCTCCTATTCCTGCCCTGGGGTGTTGACACAAGGAAGCAACAGCCATAGCAGCTACAGTTTCCTTCCCTCCCCTGCCCCAGCCTCCCATTGGACTGGGAAAGGGGGAGCCCTGCAGTGATGGGGGGGGTCTCAGCATGAAAGCTTGGGGAGGGAGCCTGCCACCTGAGAGTCATGGCACGCCTGGACCCTTCTCTACACCAAGCTGACCTTCACCCCAGCTGTCGGTGCCCCTCTGTTTGAGGGTTGCTCTCTCTAAGTGGACAAGGTTACTTTCAATTTTGTTCAGCTTTTTGAGCCCGAGGCCACCCCACCCAGTTTAGTGTGAGCTGCAAGCTGGATGAGCGCCCTCTCTGTGCCATTTCCTGGGTCACTGGTAACCACATATAATCCACAGCCCATCCCACCCTGCACCTGACTGAACCTGACTTCCCTGGGTGACAGGCTGCCCTGTCTCTGGTCCTCCCCCAGGTCCTTCATCGAGATCTCCAACAACTGCCTGTCCAAGGCCCAGCTGGCCGAGGTGGTTGAGTCCATGTTCCGGGAGTCAGGCTTCCAGGATAAGGAGGAGCTGACGTGGGAGGACTTCCACTTCATGCTGCGGGACCATGACAGCGAGCTCCGCCGCACTCAGCTCTGTGTCAAAGGTGGGGGTGGAGGCTAGTGAATATATAAGGCACAGTTGGAGTCAGGAGGGGTGTGTCTTCAAAATGAGAGTTCCTGATGGACAGGCCCCAGGTCTTACTTCCCTCTTAGTCTTTGATGCCTAGCATGAACTAGGCATGTGGAATCAAGGGTGTCACACACAGCTGTGCAATTCATGCACTGCACAAAGATGCCCACTGAGGGGCCAAGGGGCAGCTGAAATCCAGCTTGCATGCTGCCGACCAAGCTGTGTACATTGGTCTGGGGTATATCTCATCAGAGAAAGATGCACTATTTTCTTTTCACAAAAGATCTGCAGCAGCACTGTATCCACCTGGAGGGGGTCCACTTTACATTGCACACCTTGTCTAGCAGTGACTGCCCTGTGTGCAGTGGGTGCTCAGTGTGGGCAATGAGGGAACAAGGCTTGGGCAAGAGATGAGGACATGACCAAGGCACTGGCATGTGTTGTGGCAGCCTTCCCAGAAGGGAGAGGGACAGTTTCCCACCCTACTACCCTGGGGGGAAGCCTGTCCAGCCTCTTGTTCTTCTCTCCAGGTATTGGAGACATCTTTAAACCAAACATCAGTGGTCGAGTTTCATTCATCACTCGGACTCCTGGGGAAAGGTGAGCAGGAATGGGGTATTGGGAGATCCCCTGCAGAGAAATGAAGGAAGTCGGGCTGGCTGAATCAGTACCTGGAGCAAAACCTTTGACCTTAGACAGTAACCTTTAGCATATGATCAGCCCTGGTCCAAATTCCAGCTGCCTCCCATACCCCATGCTGCTTAGAAGCCTGGCTCTCTTCCTGCTACTCCAGGACTGAATCATTCTACAAAACAGATGATCAGATTGTATTAATTCATTCCGCCTTGCCTCCTGCCTGGCTTCTCTCTGACCAGTTTTATGGGCAGGTTCTGTGGGCAGGGAAGGGTCCCAGGACCCACCCCCTCCCCTAAGCTCTGACCTGGTGGTTTTTCCCCTGAGTTTAAAGACAAGGGAAGAATGGGTCCCATTGTCCATTTCTCAGCACCTCTCCCCAGAGAGTGGGGCTCCCTGCCTCAGAAGCCCCAGAGATGGGAGGTCCTGGGCTGAAGAAGAGATTTGGCAAAAAGTGAGTGATTCTCAGATCCCTGGGCCCAAGGAGACATGGGGAAAGGTCTCAAGGCTGTGCTCACACCTCCTTGACCCACAAGGGACTATCCTGAATCTTATTTCGTGTGTCTTTGACCTGATTAGTGATCCATAGAGTCAAATGACTTTTTGAACTTTTTCAACCTCTGCACCCCAGTCTTCAGAGCTGGTGCTCAGATGTAACACCAAGATGGTGGTAGGGGTCTCCTGGCTCCTTCCTGCTTTGGGCACAGCTGTGAGGCCTGTGCAGCAATCAGGGAGAGGGAAGGACAGAATAGAAAGGAGGAAGGAGAGGTGGAGTAATGGGGAGGCAGAAGTGTGGGTGGATGTGGCAAATAAAGATGAGAGGTAAAGGTTTGAGGGGTGGGAATCTACCTCCAAAATGCCTTTCCCTTTATCAGTTCTGGTGCGTCCTGACTCCTGCCAGGTCACCAGTCCCCTTCATGGGGTTAGGGTACTCCAGCCTCAAGGCTGCCTGCCTCCCTTTGCTGTAGGGCAGTGGTGGCCCCTCCCCGGCTGTACACAGAGGCGCTACAAGAGAAGATGCAGCGAGGCCTCCTGGCCCAGAAGCTGCAGCAGTACAAGCGCTTCATGGAGAACTACGTGCGGCATGTCATGTGCATCTCAATCTTCTCAGCCATCTGTGTCGGCCTGTTTGCAGAGCGTGCCTATTGTAAGAGCTCCAGGAGGGCGCAGGAAGGGCCACATGGAGGGCCCTCCTCTTGCCCTTCCTGCTCCTCAGCATCTGCATGGGGGAGCCCAGGGCTCTAGCCTGGGTCCAGGACCCCAGCCCCTGTGCTGTGCTGATCCACCCCCACTCTGTCCCCAGACTATACCTTTGTCTCGCCACCCTCCGGCATTTCAGAGACCACCCAGGTGGGCATCATCCTTTCTCGGGGCACAGCTGCCAGCATCTCCTTCATGTTCTCCTACATCCTGCTCACCATGTGCCGCAACCTCATCACCTTCCTGCGAGAGACCTTCCTCCACCGCTACGTGCCCTTCGATGCCGCGGTGGACTTCCATCGCTGGATCGCCATGGCTGCTGTGGTTCTGGCTAGTATGTGGCTCCTGGACACCCTCCACATGGCTGCAACCCCTGCATCTGGCTTTGGGGAAGACAGTGAGGAGAGTGGAGCTGCTTATACTCCCATCTCTCTTCCCCTTGCCTCCTCCTCCCTTCAGGATCAGAGGTACATGCCCCGGTGGAGTCTCAAACAGAGTCTGTCTCTTTCAGTTTTGCATAGTGCTGGCCACGTGGTCAATGTCTACATCTTCTCAGTCAGCCCCCTCAGCCTGCTGGCCTGCATCTTCCCCACCGTCTTTGTGAATGATGGGTCAGTTCTGGGAGCATCCCCCTTGGGACACCTGGGGCAGGCCTAAGGTTATAATAGAAAAGAAATAGATGCCCTAGACACTCCACTCTCTCACTGAGAGCAAGAAGCTAGCCCCATTGGGGGAAGCTGAGAGGTGACTTCCTTGCATAAGGAAGAAAACTGGCCATGATTGGCCCAGAAAGGTGTTTGGGAGATGAAGCTGGAGACTCTTTCCCACATGAATCTGACACACAGCTTGCCATCTCAGCCTATATCCACACACACAGGACAAACGTTACAGAGCATGTCTTTTGCACCCATCCAGATACAGAGAGGAGGGTTGCCAAGACACATGCAATCATCCAGCTAATACTCATGGGGCATTTATGGTGTGCCTGACATTGTTTGAGCACAGGGATAGAACAGTGAGCAAAACACATGCCCCTGCCCTCACAGAACTTAGAGAATACAAACTAAGCACTCAAGGAAGAAAAGAGTAGCTACAGGATAACACAGGAGAAAGACTTACCCTGAGAGCAGAGGGTAGAAATGCAGGGGACTGGGAGCCATGTTCCTTGGAAGGATTCATGGCCATGTGGGTGGAGGCCCAATAACCTCAGCTGTCAGGGCTGGCAGGAACAGAATCACACTGTGACAGTGGTGGAGTCCCCTGCCCCAGCCAGAGCTCCATGTGTCTTTGCCCCATAGGTCCAAGCTTCCCCAAAAGTTCTACTGGTGGTTCTTCCAGACGGTCCCAGGTAGGGTGTGGGGCTGCATGTGGGGCTTGGGGGTTCTGTCTGAGAGGTTCTGCTTTTATCTTCATCTTCCCATCAATACATACTTGTCTGTGGTGGGCATAGTTTCCCTTTCTGGCCTCCAGGATAAGCCCCAGCTGCAGCCCCTTCAGGCAAGCTGTTCTGGAGGCCAGGGAGGTCAGGAAGGAGGGCAGAATGGGGGGAATGCTCTGTTGTAGTCTCAGCCCAGGCTGAGGTCCTGAGACCCTTCCCTGACCCCCATCTCCCCTGCCCCAGGTATGACAGGGGTGCTCCTGCTCCTGGTCCTGGCCATCATGTACGTCTTCGCCTCCCACCACTTCCGGCGCCGCAGCTTCAGGGGTTTCTGGCTGACCCACCACCTCTACATCCTGCTCTATGTGCTGGTGAGAGACTTGTCTGGGCAGGGCCAGGCCATTGGCCAGGGATGAGCACTCATGGTGGAGGGAGGGAGCAGATGGAATTGGACCGAAGATCTCAGATCTGAGACCCCAGTCTCTGAAAGCCTATGCCAGCCCCATCCACCCCAGCAGGCCCAGGGCCCCAGCAGAAAGTGTCTGCACAAGGGGGGGTGTTCTCAGGAAGGGGGCCTAACTGCGTCTGAGCTGTACTCATTGCTCCATCCAGCTCATCATCCACGGCAGCTTTGCCCTGATCCAGCTGCCCCGTTTCCACATCTTCTTCCTGGTGCCGGCACTGATCTATGTGGGGGACAAGCTGGTGAGCCTGAGCCGGAAGAAGGTGGAGATCAGTGTGGTGAAGGCGGAGCTGCTGCCATCAGGTGCCAACCCCGGGGGCTGCCAGAGACCAGCCTGGTGGTCCTGGAGAAGCTGACAGGGCAGGGGCGGGGACTGGGCTCATCACCTCCTGACCTGGCCCAGTGGAGTTGGCAGGGGCCTTGGCGTGGCAGGGACAAGGGAGCTGGTAAAGCAGCTCTTTGCCAGGGGACCCACGCCTCTCCTACAACACAGAGAGGAGCTCAGGCCAGGCTGCCCCTGCCCTGCTGCCTACTGGCCTCAGCCCTGCCTGGCCCCTCCTCAGGGTGGTCGTGACCCTAGAGCAGTAAGGCCTTCTGATGTGGGTTGGCCTCCTCTTCATCACCCAGAAGCAGAGCTGAGGCTGCAGGTGGGGGTGTTCTCTGGAGGCCACACTGGTGCTGGGGACATGACAGCAGCCTCCTGCCCACTTTCCTTCCACAGGAGTGACCCACCTACGGTTCCAGCGGCCCCAAGGCTTTGAGTACAAGTCAGGACAGTGGGTGCGGATCGCCTGCCTGGCTCTGGGAACCACTGAGTACCACCCCTTCACACTGACTTCTGCACCCCATGAGGACACACTCAGCCTGCACATCCGGGCAGCAGGGCCCTGGACCACTCGCCTCAGAGAGACCTACTCACCCCCGATGGGTGATGGCTGTGTCAGATACCCGAAGGTGCCCATCACAGAGAACCACTTTCGGGGCTTTGGTATTGGCAGAGGGTCCCCACCCTTCCCCACCCTGAGACTAGAAGCTCCAGCCACCCAAGGCCAGGCTGGGAGCACTAGGGTGCCTCAGAAGAGGCTAGGATGCTCCCATATCCTTCTTCTCCCCGTTTTCAAGCCTCAGAGAAGGGGCAGGGCCAGGCCCAGGTCCATCTCATCTCCCCATTCTTTTGGCAGCTGTACCTTGATGGACCATTTGGAGAGGGCCACCAGGAGTGGCATAAGTTTGAGGTGTCAGTGCTGGTGGGAGGGGGCATTGGGGTCACCCCTTTTGCCTCCATCCTCAAAGACCTGGTCTTCAAGTCATCCTTGGGCAGCCAAATGCTCTGTAAAAAGGTGAGTGTCTCTCTCCCATTCTTTGAAGGAATGGGGACAAAAGGCCTGATTGTGTCCTTGCTCACAGCAGAATAGCAGAGAAAAAGCCTTTGGCTCCTAGGCACTGAGTCTGCTGGGACCATACATAGCCTATTATTCAGATGCCCAGCATTTGAGGGAGGGTAGGAGGTATAGCCAGAAGGGCCTCTGCTTGATCTGTTGGTAGAAGCCTTGGATCAGACTTATGGGGCCTGCCGGAGGTTTGGTGTCTGGGTGTGGTCTTGGGCTTCCCAGCCTCTAGGTGAAGGCATCTGGGGTGGAGGAACCTTGAGCTGAGTGAGTCCTAGCTCCAGCCATGTGTCCCCAGATCTACTTCATCTGGGTGACACGGACCCAGCGGCAGTTCGAGTGGCTGGCTGATATCATCCGGGAGGTGGAGGAGAATGACCACCAGGACCTCGTGACTGTGCACATCTACATCACTCAGCTGGCTGAGAAGTTCGACCTCAGGACCACCATGCTGGTACGTCAGGGCTGGCCAGGCACGGTGGGTGGGCCGCCGTTGGGACTGAGCTGAGGCTGGCTCTGCCTGGCTGTGACCTTCCTCCTCTGCTCTGCCACCACCCCCATCCAGTACATCTGTGAGCGGCACTTCCAGAAGGTGCTGAACCGGAGTCTGTTCACGGGCCTGCGCTCTACCACCCACTTTGGCCGGCCCCCCTTTGAGCCCTTCTTCAACTCCCTGCGGGAGGTCCACCCACAGGTCAGCCCCCACCCATCCCAGACTCTGGCCTTCCCCTGCCAGGGCATCCTGGCTCTCAAGCACCCCACAGTTCTATCCTGAGTGGAGAACCACATCCTCCCAGCCCAGGATGGGGGTCATGAATGGGAGGAAAGCTTCAAACCCTGTCCCTGCCACCCCCAGTCCAAGCCTCCTCCAAAGAGACCGGGACTGATACCCCTAGTCATCCCAGGCAAGCTGGAGAAGCAGCTTCCTCCAGGGGAGTGAGTGTCTCCCACCTGCAGGCCCCTCCTCTCTGAACCCCTCCCTCCACCCCCACTTGACAGGTGAGAAAGATCGGGGTGTTTAGCTGTGGCCCTCCAGGCATGACTGAGAATGTGGAGAAGGCCTGTCAGCTCATCAACAGGCAGGACCAGGCCCACTTCGTGCACCACTATGAGAACTTCTGAGCCCACCTTCCCTGGTTTCTGCTTCCCCCCTGTATACTAGCCCTGCAGCAGCTTCTCTGCCAGAACCCACTTCAACCCTCAGCTGGGAAGCTGGGAAGAACTTCTCGCTCATTATCCCATCTGTCCTCTGCTCTGAGAAGGTTCAGAAGAGCCCTCCAGCTCAAGCCACACTGGGTTGTGGCAGGCAGAGTGGGGGAGGGACAGCCTTTGCCTTGAGTCAACTGTGGAGATACAGTACTGTTTGATAGGTCCCCACAGCTTCTTCCACAGAATTGATGTTTTGCTTTGCTATTTTCTTGGCCTAGGCCTTTGAGGGAGCATAGGGTGGGGATACCTGATGTGAAAAGAGGGCTGAGTGACTATCTCCTCTGAGCCCAGCTCAATTCAGTCTCCTAGGCCTTTTCCCTCCATCTCCAGCCCACACCCCTTCCTGCCCCTAGAGGGTCAGGAACCCTGAGGACGAGTAACCAAAGAACAAAGATGCCTCCCCAACCCTGATGTTCTGAGTCTCAGACAGCAATGCTGCTGCACGGACCTCTTGGCTGCCCCTGGAGCTTCCCCTGGGCTCTGGGACCGAGGGAGTGTGGCCTGTCTGCCAGACTCTAAAGCCCCCTCTCAGGGCCTCACTTCCACAGGAGCTGGGGGGCCAGCTGTCCTGGTTGGCCCAGGATGCTCTACATTTCAGCACAGGAAGTCTCTTGTCCTAGGAAGCCCTCCAGTCCTAGGCACATCAGAACAGTAGGTCACCTTCTGCAGGAGCCAGCCTGGGACATCCCCTCCACACTTTGTTTTTAAAGATACTTCTTTTTCCTTCTTCAACTGGCTCTTTTCTAAAACGCTGAGCTTTAAATTTTTTAAAATTTAGGTATAATTCACATATGGCAAAGTAAATAAATCTTAAAGTTATCATGTGCATGTGTTGTTACTACCCAAGACAAGATATAGAATGTTTCCCTCACTGCAGAAACTTCCTTTGTACCCCTTCCTGTCAGTCTTCCGAAGGGCCGGAAGCAACCATTCTGATGTGATTCTTATCGCTCCAGATAAGCTTTGGTCATACTGAATGTACTCTTGCTTTTTTCCCTCAATACGATGTCTTTGTGATCCATCCAAGTTGTTGTGTGGGTCGGCAGTTAATTCGTTTTTATTGCTGAGTCATATTTCATTGTACAAATGTACCAGTTTGTTTATCCATCTTCTGTGGATGGACATTTGGGTTGTTTCTAGTTTTCAAAAATTTGAATAAAGCTGCTATGAACATTTTTTTACCTGTCTTTTGGTGGATGTAACGTATTCATTCCTCTTGGGTATATATCTAGGAGAGGAATTGCTAGGTCATAGAGTTCTCCAGACAGCAGGACTTGTGGCAGGGAGAGTTTCAGGCCATCTCCACATCCCTGCTCCAGGCCCTCTCCTTGGTGGTCCTACCCTCTTCTGACAGGCCAAATACTCTGACTCCCAATACTCTGCACCAAAGGAATCTCTCTGAAAGAACCAGAAGGGTGTGCTGGACCCAAAACCGGGATTCTAGTGGCAACTTTACCCCAGAGTAGCTACAGAGGAAAATATTTTAATTGCTGTTAGCCTTTTTTCCTCATATACTAAAATGTCTATGTGGGAAGCAAGATAGTGATACTGGCCCAGAAAATTACACAGGGAATGAGGAGATGTATGTGTTGTGTTCTGGTCTCAGCCTATCAATAACCACTGTTGTGGCTGGACCTGCCTTGTGGTTCTTACTCTGACTGCAAGATGTCCTCAGCAGTAACTATCAGGAAACTTTAAAAGAGATAGATTTGTTATTTACAAGTCTTGGAAATTACACGGCACACCTGGGGCCACACAGCAAGGTCACAGGCAGAGAGAACTGGGGGTGGGGGAGGATCAGGGCCTAGGGTTCTGCTTTTGTTGAGGTCAAGTGTGGGGCCCAGGGTTTTATGAGCTCACTCTTCATTGGTGAATTTAAAACTAAAGAGTGGGAATTTAAAGCTCAGAAAGAGAAAAAACAAGTGACCCAAATAGTCAGTTATCAAAATCAACCAAGACCTCTATAACAAAGGAGCTTGTGGGGCAGGGGAAGGGCACGTGGGGCCTGGCTCTTCTCCTAGCCCTGAGTCTGGCAACCTCAAGATAGTTTTTACTCAAGTGTTTGCTCAAGATAGCCGTCTTCGAAGTGATGCCTCTTTTTTTTTTTCCTCCAGTTTTATTGAGGACTGATTGACATACCTCACTGTATAAGCATAAAGCATCCCGCATGATGGTTTGGTTTACATATATTGTGAGATGATTACCACAGTAGGTTCAGCTCACCTCCATCATCTCATACACACAACAAAAGGAAAAGGAAAAGGAGAAAAAATTCTCTCCATGCAATGAGAACCCTTAGGCTTTACTGTCTTAATATCTTTTCTATATATCATAGAGCAATATGGGCTACAGTCATGCTGTCCATCACATCCCTTGTACTTACTCATCTTATAACTGGAAGCTTGGACCTTTTGATCACCTTCCTCTGACTCCCCTTCCCTCACTCTCTACCTCTGATAACCACAAATCTGATCTCTTTTTCTATGAGTTTGGTTTCCAGATATATATGAAATCGTATATAATGATTTCAAAAAATCTATTTTTCTTTCTCTCTCAGATCTATTTCATTTAACATAATACCTTCAGGGTCCATCTGTGTTGTCACATATGGTAGCATTTCCCTATTTTTATGGCTGAATAATATTCCATTCTTTCTATATATTTTTGTTATATATATACACACACACATATACATATAACAAAACTCTTTATCCATTCATCCACTGATGGTTATTTCCATGTCTTGGCTATTGTAAATAATGCCTCAGTGAACAAGGAGATGCAGATAACTTTTCAAGTTAGTGTTTTAATTTTCTTTGGGTATATTCCCAGAAGTGGAGTTTCTGGATCATATGGTAGTTCTATTTTTAATTTTTTAAAGATCCGTCCTCTGGGCCTCTCTGTACAGTCGTCCCACACAGCTGTCCTCTGGGCCTCTGTCCTCGGTGCTGCCACCACTCCAGCCTCTGCTCTGCTCTCCTGCAGTCTTGCAGCCCTGCCACCGTGTCAAGCCCAGAGCACTGGGTGGAGCTCTTTACATAGAGTCAACAGCCATGTATTGCCACAGGTGTGCCCACTCCACACCTCCAGGACTTTCTCCTCTCAATATGTGCCCTTAGTCCTCTGCAATGGTTCCTGTGCAAGGAAGCTAGAACATTGTTCTCCAGCCTCTCCAGCAAAAAATTTTGCAGACACACAGGCCAGACTTGTGGCTCTCTGTCTGACCTCTGCCTCTTTAGTTTTAATGGCTTGAACTGCTGCACTGGTTTCAGTTGTTGCCATAGCTCCAGTAAGATCTTATTTGGCTTCCCGTCTAATTTCCTTCCATCTACTCCTGCCTGTATTAAATCAACCCACATCTGGGTCCTTGTAACCTTCATAGGACCCCTTAAATTCTTCTTGTAAGTCACCTTGCATTTTGTAATCACTGCCTCAAGGCAGGCTGCACTGTCAGGGAAGACAGCTTTACCATCTCTGATCCCTGCAGAACAATTCCATCCACCCCTAAGTCCCACAGCCACTGGTTCAGCCTGAGTACAGGGGCAGACCATAGAGTGCTCCCCGACCTGGGGAGGGGGCTGCTCCTCTCCCTGGGGAACTTTCAGCTGCTGGGTCTTTATTTTCTTTACAACCACTGGGCGTGCTTTCAGTACAGAAGGGGCCGGTGCCAGTGCCTCCGGCACCACCCCTTCATCCTTCCCCAGTTCCTCCATTTCCGGGGCTGATGGCACCTTTCTCTCCACTCCCCCAAGTGCCTCCTCTGTTACTGTGCCTTGCAACAATGCCAGCTCAGTCTTCAGAATCTCTTTTACCTTCACCTCAATGCTTTGCAGCTGACGTTCTCATGCCACCTCCACCTGTGCTTCCCTCAGGAGTTCGTCTTTTTCCTTGATGGCCTCTTCCTCTTTCAGAACACCTGGCAGTGCTGCCATCTCATAGCCAATGGCACCTTGCTGCTGGTGCTCTCGTGCTGCCTCCTCTCACATCAATGCCATCTCCTTCCTCAGGGAATCAATCCACAGAAGTTTGCAGCTCGCATTCTCATGCAGCCATTTCTTGGGTCTCCTCTGTAGACTTTTTTAATACTGTGAGAAGTAGCCAACCCACAGTCCCCACTGCCTCACAGGCACTCTGCTTCTCAAAGGATCTACTTACTATACCAAGAGCCACCCCTATAGCCTCAGGTGTCACTTCCACTTGCCTCCAGTCCTGGGGTGGGGCCCAGTCCTCTAGGAGGCAAGCCACCTCAGACCACAGACCCATGGGGGATGATCAACTGTCTCCCAATTAACAGGGGTGGCCTGCTGAAACACCCCTCCCATAAGGGCAGCCTGTCTTTTTCCTTAGTCAACAATGAATCCTGCTGACTATGCCAATTGTCTTGCCAATGGGTTTCAGCCCTGGGCAAGTTTGCTATGGAATCAATGTGACCAAAGAAATTGACAGCAAAACGTTCTTGGGGTGAAAGGATTATACCCACCTTTATTTCCAGGTGGTAGGTCAGTCACTGAAATCCCGTTCATCAGAGCAAGTCTGCATGCAGCAAGCCGGTCTCTGCCTCTGGGCCCCTCTGTCCACACAGCTGTCCTCTGGGCCTCTCTGCCTGCACAGCCATCCCACACAGCCATCCTCTGGACCTCTGTCCTTGGTGCTGCCACCACTCCAGCCTCTGCTCTGCTCTCCTGCAGCCTTGCAGCTGTGCCACCATGTTGCGCCCAGAGCACTTGGCGGAGCTCTTTATATAGAGTCAACAGCCATGTATTGCCCACAGGTGGGCAGTGAACTAGTCAAACAGGGCCAGGTGAGAATCCTGGCCACAGGAACTCTCATTTTATCCACAATCTCTCTCTATGCAGCCCCACGCTCCCTGCCAAGCTAGGGTCATGTGAGTCTCCTGAAGAATCCATGATCACTAGTGACCAGACACCAGACAATGCCATGTGCATGCACCTGGACAGAGAACCATGTTATCATGGTCTTGAGTAGCCTCAGTGGCACTTGGCCTGCCTGACCTCAGTCCTGACCCCACAGCCTAGCCAGGTTCTGGATGTCAGCCCTAGGAATAAATTAATGTGATCTGGATGCTCTGCATAGCTTTGCCCAAATTCCCAGAAAGCCCAGATAAAAGTCAAGAACTTGTAGAGAGTAGAGGTGTCTGCAGTCTGGGGATTCATCAAGATCTTCAACTGCTCCCACCCTCCTTGGCACTTTGTGACCAACTCTTCTTGGAAACCAGATTAGAAGGCAGGTTCAGGCAGCCATCAGGCAATGTGCCTTTGAATTGAGAAAAGAAGGTCAACAACCATACAAGTGGATGACGGGGAGAGGTTAGACTTGGAAAATATGTAAACAAGGGAGGCCACAAAAATGTCTCAGAGAAAGAAGACTGGGAAAGGATGACTCAGAGGATATTTGCAGAAACCTTTATATTGACAGTGTAAAAGAAAGCAAACCTTCTCTACTTTAGATCAAAGGTGTTGATAATAGGCCTTAGGACAAAGCCCAGCCCAGCTCCTGTCTCACAACGATAGTGATGATGCCAAGAATGGAACAGGGATGGAGATGGAATCAGGTAGGGTTAGATGGCAATGGGATTAGGAGAAGATGAGGATGAGGATGAGATTGGATGGAAGGGCTTTGGAGTCAAGTGGGAAGGGAGTGGAAGAGGCTGGGGAGTGCAGAGGCTAAGTTCAGAAGAAGAGGAATGAATGCCTGCTCTTTGTCTTTTTTCCTAATTTTTCAGACCCAGCTTCTGTCTTGATTGAGAGGGGAGAAAGTTGAAAAGAAGTGGCAACATTCCTACCCATTTGCTTTTTAGCAAGAGCCAATCTAGCATAGTAGTTAAGAGTAAGGGCTTTTCAGTCAAATATGGTTTTGAGTCCCAGTTGGAGGACTTTGAGCAAGCAAAGGAAATTCTTGATGCCTCAGTTGCTCCTCCATAACATGGGGATAACACACATCTCTGCTTCATAGAATTTGGGAAGCTCCAGTAATATCATTCAATTCAACAAATACATGCTGAGTGTCTGTTATGTCCTATGCCCAGGTCCAACTCCTACGGACCTCACAAACAAATAAAAAAGAAAAAGAAGATAATCCCAGATCATGATAAAAATAATAAAACAGAATAGTGTTACAGCAAATGACTAAGATAAGATGATTAAGGGAAGGCCCCAGAGAA